TATGTTACCATTCGGTGACAGCTCCCCGATATTGTTTCAAAGTTACTGATACTGTACTGTATGTATTTTAGGTTACTGAACATATTAGTTTTTAATTTACTTTGTGGCAATGATGTATGGTAATTGTTTATAGAGGCTACATTTTTAATGTTGATCTGTTGTCCTCCCTTCTTTCTAATTTACAGTCTTAGATGTACAGTATTGCAGTTGTGAATAGTTGCCATAGTGTGTGCTTTATGTGACAGTGTATTAACAATAGCATCAAATTATACAGTTGGGTCTTCATTTACGCGGTCAATTGAACCCGTGGAGGCCCGCGTAAAACGAGAAACGCGTAAATGAAATAACAGAACATATGGGATTAATTGAAATAAAGACTGGGCCGACCCCCAAACTCCACTTTTTCTGACACAATACCTACGTTGTAGTAAAAATAACATCTTAATTTTATGATGGTATGCACACAGAATTAATAATTAAGAGAAGTATCAATAATATTAGGGTTTTTAACCCTTACGTTAGTAGAAAAGATGGCTGGGCACACGTGGATGGCAGCTGATTCCGAGGCAGAGGGCATATTAGTTGCCCTCCGGTGAATCACTTTCACTACTCGCAGAGGTTTGCAGGGCCTCCCAGACAAACCCCTCAAAGTTCATATCCTCACTGTCAATATCACTATCACTGACTTGGGCTGGCTGTGGTTGTGGTGGGTTGCGGGCGAGGAAGTCCTCAATACTACGTTGACGACTAGCATTGATGTTGTCGAGATTGATCTGGATATACAGCTCCATAAATTTCGTCAGATGGTTATTAGACACTTCATACCGATGCTTGTCTGGGTCGTTGTCAAGGATGAGCTTAAGTTTCTCCCCCAACTCGATGATTTCCTTCACATTATCATGGCTTGGTCCAGGTAATTCAATGTTTTTCTCTGGTGGTGGGGGTCCCGCGGCAGCCATTGTGAGTTGTGAGAGGAATAGCGGGCACAAGAGAGAACTGTATATACACGGACTGAGAACAATGAGACAGGCCCTGCTAGGTCAGCGACTTCTTCCCTCCCGTGGCCGGGCACGTCATATTACATTAAACCAATCACAGCTAGCGGGGGAGGGAGGTAAGGATGCGTGGCCCAATCACAGTCCGATACGTCATATGACGTCACCGATAACGCAACAGCGACATACTGCGCACCCCTCCCTGCGCCGCTTCCCCCCGCTTGTGGTCAGGCATGGCGGGAGGTTTGAATCCAAAATGGCGTGCGGCTGGACCGCCAGCTGCTCTCCGCGTAAATGACCAAATTTACCGCGTAATTAAAGCATTTCAATTCTAGCAAGGCACCGCGTAAATTACAAAACGCGTAAACAAAAACCGCGTAAATCCAGACTCGACTGTATACCAAATATTACCTTTCAAATTTTACATCATAGCAAGACTGAAATCATAGAACTTTCACGGTTGATACATGAATATACAATACTGTACATCCATTGTTGTTGACTCCTTCCATATAAAGAGGCACTTGTACAAACTGCACACAGGATACAACTATGATTGTGCTTTGTTATTAGTACATTTTAATAGATGAACATGAGGCCTTATTGTTAGACTGCACAGTGTGATGTAATTTAAGAGCAACCATTTATAAGACTTAATGTTAAAACACAACCATCCGATGTTATTGGCTGTGGATTTTCACATGTTAGTTTACAATTGGAAGATTTAAGTTAAATTTGGTAATAGTTCTATGGCATACAAAGAAAATATGTGTTGTAATGTTATGCTTACTGGATTGACAGTGTGACACTTTTAATACATAGAGAAGTACAAATTGTTTTAATATCAAAATTCTTACATTATTTATTTAAGTACTCTACTCAGTAAGGTTGACAGTACAGTATTTGAATGGCAGAAATGAGGTTAACATTGGTTCCTATACTGGACTGTATTTTTATGTACAGTCAGGATCAAATTAAAAGTTCGCTCCCTCCCAACTGAAGCAGTATCGATACCAAATGGGATAAAACAGCACAACCACAGCAGACGACAGGCAGGGTAAGTAAGTTCGAAGAGTCATTCCTGAGACTCGGTTTCACCAAGGGGAGAGAACTTTTAACCACAACTGTACACACACCCCAAAAAGTATCTTTATGGATGTGTCTGATGAATTTCAAAATGAACACTGTGATTTCCAGTGTTTCAGCAAGGTTGTCAAAATCCTTTGTCCATTGTGACATAAAGATAAATTTTTGGAGCTTGTGAACAGGCCATGTGGGGCCTTGGTGCACACCATATTAAAAGAAGCAGCTACATGATAACTCATGTACTGTAGGTGAACTTGCCTTTGTGATTGGTAGATTTGTGTCAGTTGTTATTTTCACAATAAAACGCCTTTTCTTTGGAAACTGAAAACTAACATGTTTAAAGTGTAAAGATAGTCTATACAGTATTACTAATAAAATGTATACAAAGGTTATTTAAAACTTATAGGCACAACGTAATTGACATTATAAATATTGTGTAAGTATTAAAGTACAGGGGATCCCTCAAGTTCGCGGTTCTCTGTTATTCGCAGATGACACCCTAGATGTACCCAAGAATGTGTGTGTATAGTTTTAAAGTTGCCGGCATTTTTGCGGCTGGGACAGGGAGCCATTTGTTCTAGAGACAGTAATTTCCTTTAACTGTACTGTAATTAAATGTGTGTGTGTAGACGCACACGCACACACAAAACACATCCAAATAAATAATAATTGGAAAATACTATCACGATTAATCAGAAACAAATTTATTAAAAATGTGAGCCTACCCTCAAGTCTGTGCTCTATTACAGTACTTTATTAGCAGAGCACGGACTTGGGGGTAGACTCACATTTTTAATAAACTTTTTTCCGATTATTTGTGAGGATTTTCCAGTTATTATTTATTTGTATGTGTTTTGTGCATGTCCACACACATATACAATACTACAGGTAAAAGAAATAATTGTCCTAAGGGCAAACACATAGAGGGAATATACATTTATTTGTACACAAGTTAAAATGTAACCCCCCCTGCTCCCCCAGTCCGTAAATGTTATTCGCGATTTTGCGATTCGCGGCCATTTTGAGAACCTAACCACTGCAAATTTAGGGGGCCCCGTGTATTTCAAAGCTCATTAATTAACAACAATTACTCGAATTTTAAAATTCTTAACCCAGATCCATAACTAGCATGTAAAGTAAAAGAGTATGTTTGTATGAATTTTGAAAAAATTCCACATTTTGACCTCATATGCCGAAACAATAGGAACAGTAGGTCAGTCGTCATTTGCACAATAAACAACTTTCCTTTTCTTTGGAAACTGAAAATTAATGTACTATATTTAAAGCATATGGGCAGTCATATTACTAAGAAAATTTATATAAAGGTGATTTACAACTTATGGGCACAACGTACTTGAGTGAGATACAGATTTTCTGGAATGTGAAAACTAACGTGCTTAAATGGTAAAGTTAGTCTATAATCTTGGAAAAAAATGTATATAAAGGTGATTTAAAACTTACGGGTACAACGTAATTATCAGAGTTTCAGCTTTCTGACGACATCTTTAATCAGCATGTTGAAAACTACCTACCGGTATATTGTACTGAGATTTTCAGCAAAATTGTTTTTGGTAATTAATTGTCGTAATAGTCATTAGTAGTTTAAAATTATTAAAATAGATTGTTTTAATGTGTATTAAGACTAAATGATAGTCTGTTTATATTTGTGGTAAAACATAAACACATGATATAAATTTTATAGCAAACTTTTCACATCTAACTAGGGGAATTAACCCTGGGATACAGTGGTGAAAGGCAAATACACTAGCACTGTTCAGTACAGTATACCATCTTTCCTCCCACATATCCATAACTTTCATTAATTCATTTATGTTAGCTATAAAAAGACTTAAGTTTCCAGTCCTATGCCTCGATTATTTCACACTGATTGTCCTCCCCCCAAAAATACCTATGTTAGGGAACTAATTAACTTGAGCAATTGCTTAGTAGTTTTATTGATAATTAAAATAAAATCTATGATGTACACAATGCCATAATTTACATCAAAATTTAACCCATTTCTGAGCCTGTATTCTAAGACTTCGAACATCATTTGTTAAATCTTCTCCAATTGGACACCTGAAAATTTGAAAGATAACCTTGATAATTTACAGTGTCTCAACATCAACATTTGATTTGTGCTTTTCTCTATTAAAGAAGGTGTTTCATATAGCATTTGTGTACATAGTATACAGTACTGTATATCTTGGCACATTACAGCTCTAGACTCTGTTTCTCACAAGTACCAAGACAACAGCAGAATCATTCCTCAACTTTATAGTTTGTACGTAATACATCTCCACAGATTTGAGTACAAGAGTACAGAAATAAACTGTTTATACTACGAGAAACAAGAAAGCAGTACTCTACAGTATATAAATAATATATTTTACTGAACAGTACCATATGTACAAGCACGTATGAGTGATGCTACATAGTCCATGTAGCTATGCGGTTCATGACAAAAAGGGAGGTGGCTTGAGAGACAGATAAAAAAAAGATGGTTACTGTCAACAATGTCTCAGTGCAGAGTACCTGTACTCATGACATAAATCGGGTAATGGTATAAGTTAAGTGACAATATATTTGGAGAATGGCGTAAAAGGTGATGTAAACTGGAGTATTAATGTATAACTTTAACTTATGAGAAGGATATTAACCCCTGGTCATAATTACTAATTATGACTCAAAACTATGTTCATTCATCTATACTATATATATTGTACATTAAACAGTTTTCCATGTAATGTAAACCAAACAAATTTGTTAATAAACAGACCTGTAATTTCATCCATATTTCACCCTTTCCACATTAGCTCCCCATTTTTTAGTCAAAGCAAAATTATCAACTCACTACTCATCCATACTGAATACAAATCTGAAAAAAAAAATGGCTTTTACAACCCCAAAAAATTTTACCTTGCTTGAAAATCAACTGCTGCTATGTCTTCTTCATCATGGAGAACACCAGCTTTAGCCAACCAACGTTCCATGCCATTCCATGCAATCATGATGCCATTATCGGTGCACAGCTTTGGTGGTGGGCAAAGGAGCTGATAGCCTGTAGTATCACATAACTTCTGTAACGCTGCCCGAATGTACTGGTTACAAGCAACACCACCTGACACAACCTAGTGGAAAAAATACATATGAGCAGAAAATTACATTGTCCCCATTATAATTAACAGTTTTCCCATTTAAACAGTGGTTCCTGTTTACTTTATTTTACAGCTGTATAAAATAAAGACTATCAAACTGGACATGCCTTGCATTTCTAGATATCTTAATACTGTACTTGTACAGTACTTTTTTGGGGCATCAAAATTGTAGTTAAAAAATCTACAGTAACATATGGCTCATGAATTTAAGGTGTTCATAACTGCACATCATCATTCATGGGCATGGAAGAAGGGCCATCCTTTTGGGGGCTTTAGGCATTCCCCCTTGTAGTCTGGTGATGTACAGTACAGTATTTGGTTATCAAAAAGAAACAAAAGCAAATAAATATGGGGGCGCTTGAATGTGATCAAGGAAAAGGAGAAATGCTGAAAATTTTAACAGCAATAATAATGAACATAATGAATGAATGGTAAATTTGCATGTGTGTATCTGCTCTCATTTCTAGCACTGAGAATGAAAAAAAGATAAAAAAGTCATGGCTAACATATCTAAACGTAAATTACTCCACAACTAATTCAATGCAAAAAATTTCATATCTTGTTTAAAGATCTCTTGAAGGAATATAACTCTACAATTTATTTCACTCATTAAGTTAGACAGTCAGGGTGACTCACTCCTCTCCTTCCTTACATTAATCTCCTCTGCCATAAATGTTCCTCTTCATACCTCTAAATACTGAATTATGGTTCATCCTTTATGTTATACAGTACCATCACAAAATACTTTTATCCAAATGTCTTTTCAATAAAATTCCTCTATAATAAGCTAAATCCTCTATACACTAGTTTCAGGTAGTTAAGAAGACAACAGTACATAATGTATGGATAACATGTAGAGACTGGACACAACTTAAATACAAACCAAATTACATGTACTGTACTATTAACATACCAGGGTTTTATTTTGGCTGGGAAGTAGATCACGAACATCAAGATATACCATCGCTCTCTGAGTCTGCCTCACCAGATGTTTGGTTACAGCATACTGGAATGAGGCGCACACATCTTGAATGGGTGGAATAATGTTTCCACCTTCAACTTCTGCAGATGAACATAAAAAAAAACATTTAATGAAAATAGTAAATTCATCAGATGGAAAAATTCCTAAAAAGGTTAAGTGAATGAGCCTTTCACAGGTGCATGAGTACCGGTAAGTAAATTAATTTTTTAACAATACCTGTACAGTAATTCATAAATTTATTTTGTGAGACTCCCAAAAATGTGGAGATTGGAGCATTGTAGAGAAAAACCTTTAAACAATGTGGTGGCATTAATTACAGACCAAGAACTGGATAAAAACCATTGATTAGTTGGAGGTTTTCTCAATATTAAAGTCTATCAACATGATGGACTTTTTCCAATTATATTCAAAAAAAGTTTTTAGGCAAAAGACAGCTCTGCAGTTTGGACTTAACTGGACACTTGCTAATGATTTGTAAGTCATGTGCAGTACTATATAGTATAAATAAATAAATATAAAATAGAAGTTTGCAAAATAATTATAACCTCACTAATTTCCAAAGACAATACAACAATAATTTTCTTACCATATTCCTCTTCCAGTCTCTCAATAAGCCTTGTTAGTGTATGTTTAAGCCCTGAAAAGCTGAAAGTACAATCTTTGTACTTTCCCATAGGTGTTGGAAATTCATAGGCACGTGGGTTACCACCTGTTGCAAGGTATTCTATTGCTTGGCCACCAGACATTGAGGCACATTCAGGTATATTTCGTAGCTTCAATCTTCTTGCACCCTATAATAAAAAGTAGATACTCATTACTGTCACAAAAAGTGATATGGAGTACAGTACTCATCCAAAATTCTCATACTGAGCACAACAGTAAAGTAAGGGTATGTAACAACAGATTAACTAAATCTCTGGGCCTCTATCTTAGTGATTGGTTTGCAGCCTCCACAGGTACCAGGTTCTTTAGTTCTGAGCCCTTATGTCAAAAGGAAACAGTCTTCAGTTTGCCAGTCCAACAACATCACTCTTAATCTTCTACTATGCACCTTACCATTTTTTCCATTCCATGTCCATCAGCAAACAGTACTGTATATTCAAAATACTTTTGTCTCCATTTCTTGCCTCTTTCTGACTGAATCAAATACAAGACCTCTCATCATTCACCAGATCTAGTATTTCCTCAGTGCTTTTATGTTTTATCTAAGAATTTTTTTTACCCATACCTACATTACAAAAACTTACAGGCATCACAATACCAAACTCTAAACCATAGCTTCACAAACCTCTTGATTAAAGTTTTTTTTTTGTTCACCACTCAAGATCTTTTTAATTCATTCTTATTTTATCATTTTACCACTGGGCTTACTCGCTGTTCGAGCAGTTCTTAGTTATTTTGTTATGACCTTTACTGTCCAGTGTTAGTACAGAATGAAGCCAGAGGACCTGGAGAAAACGTGTGATGTTTACCTTCCCTAAGTCCAAAAAAAAATTAAAATTAGGATTATGTTGCAAGGATTCCTCACCCAATAAACTCTGTACTGCAATAGCCTCCCTAGTTCTATTGTCTTTGTGGAAGAAAAATGGCTCCTTTTCAATAAACATAACAGTCTCAACCTTAACCTCACTTCTCCTAGTACTCAAATATGATTATCAATGCATGTGAAATGTGGTATCCCATGAAAAGAAACTCATTTCCTTTATATATGACCTTATAACTTAAAAACTATTGACAATGAATATCTGAAATTATTGTACTGTATTACTGAATGAGGAAGTACAGTATATGCTCAAACCATTCATGGATGGTGTCTGCATTAATCACTTTGTTTTAATTTTGAATTAACCCTTTTCCTGAGAGGAGAAAGACAATGGCTTGTTCAATTCCCCATTTTTCCTGATGTGTTTGTCCTTCAAGTGTCCAGTGTTAGTACTGTACAAAAGGAAATCAGAGTAACCAAAGAAAACCTGTGTTGTTCAGTAGGGTCACACTAGACAGCACCTTTCTCACATCCAACCTGGGCATAAACCCAAGTCCCTGTGGTAAGAAGCAAGTGCACTACTGTTGTACCACCGACAATGGTAATTATTCATTTTGATAAAAATATTGTCATTGAATGTACAACAGAATTTCATTTTATCAGGTTTACAGTTTACTATAAAATCCAAGTACAATTACCTGATCTAAGGCTTCACCCGGAGCATCATCAATTGTTTGACCAATAATTGACCAATGGTCAAGAGAGTGTGCAATCACCAGTAGGCTATGACCACCTGATGCCAACAACACCAAGAAGGGAAATTCTGCCTGGGAAGGATAAAATATAAAAATTATGAATTCCCATACGTTAAATGAAGCTCCTATACAGTATTTGCACAAAGGTTTCACATAATTACTCATATAAGTAATATGAATCAGCAGGCAAGATGTCTTCATTCATATTGCATGTATACAAAAACTTTCACTTCACATTAACTACAGCCACTTCTCCGGTTTCATTACCTAAACTACCCTGAGATGTAAAAAAATCATGTACTCGGTCCCTGTAGCTTTTATATGACTTCCTGTCATAAATTGTACACTGTAACACAGTCACTCAAATCAATAACATTTTCATTATTAACTTCCTAACATACTGTATGATCTAAAAGTGGTTTGTTTATTTCTTAAAAAAAAAAAAAAAAAATAGACCAACTTACCTTGTGTACCATGCGGACAGTAAGAGCGTGGGCCTCCATGTGGTGTATGGGAATGAAGGGTTTCTTACCACTTACTGCAAGATTCTTTCCATATCTTGTGCCCACAGAAAGGGAGAGGGACAGACCTAAAAGTAATGTTATTTTATACAAACATCTAATAATAGCTATAAGTTACAATGATAATGTGGGGTGCAGCAACTGTTTGAATGTAGCACAAGAATCCTGTCCTAAATGTCACTGTTTCTTGACCAGGGAACCCCCTTGAACCCACTTTCTCTTTTTACTATGATAAGAGAGAGGAAATATGAGGAAAATATTGGAAAACTTTTCAAAATGTGTTGATGGATCTCTCAGGTCATTTGATGACCTGTTGGCCATAAAGAAAAAACTGAGGGGAACCTTAACAATGAACGTGAATTCAGCACAGTATACAGCAGGATAATGACTTCCTAATTTACTATCAAAGCTTAGTGTTCAGTTTCTGTATCATTTTTGTATTATCTAATATGATTTACACAACTTTACAAACACATTAATAAATCAATCTAATTTGGCAAATACTGTACCACCTTATATTCATTTCATACTATATTCTATATCATACTGTATTGAGGTTTCAAATATTACATCAGTATTATTACAGTACAGTACTATGATAAGTAAGAATGAAACATGCTGAGGCTGCCAAGAGCAGAACAGCCACCTACAGTATAACTTCACAAGAAAGGAAAAGAATGATACCTGGCTTGACAGTGGCAGCAATAGCATCCAGGTCTCTCACTGTCATTCCTGCCTTCTCCAGAGCCTCATTAACAACTTGTTCAATATTTTGTTCATGAAGTCTTTGTGCCACAGGTGGAATGATACCTCCATGCCTGAGGAAATAAAGGTCAAATTAGATTAAATCACACCAAAATGCACAGGATAAACTAACTTCTAAACTACTAGGGCATATTGGCTGAAACTGCAATTTTACTCACATATCATTTTAACAGTCTCTTAGTCTAGATACTCTTGACACCCCATTTCTCTGCTACCATGGCCAGTGGCTATGAGGCCCTGATCACCCTAACCTAACCTGTTACTTTACTTGACTGATATATCTATTTTGTCCCATATTTTATGGATCAATATAACCTGTAAAATACTTTGAATAAACTTATAATAAAATACATGGCTATTCAGACATTACCCCCAAAAACTCACTTTGATATTGCTCATAGTTGTAAATAAACATTACACTTATAACCTGTAATGTGCTTTAATTGAACTTAATGTATGGCCATAATTGAATATTTGGCCATGGATGTCATGGTTAAATATACAGTAAAGTAGTACAGTACTGTAATTAACCAGGATAATTGTGATTCTGAATAACCTAACCTAAACTAACCCAACTTACCAACTCTGATTCTGATACAGTATACAGTATGTAACATACTAACAACTCAACAACTTACCTCAAGTGTACACTCTGCTGATTGTGAAGTGCCTCTCCCAGAACCTCTCCACTGTCAGCAACAACAGCAGCACCCGTGTCATCACAGCTTGTCTCTATACCCAACACTACCTGTCTCAAAAATATTGGCTTACATCAATTTAAATTGCTATACAGTATCAGTACAGTAATTTTTAATGCAGTAAAAGACTTGAGCATGATTTCTTCACCTACACATCAGATGTTCAGACAAAAAATAAGCAATGTACAGTACAGTACAGGTATGTATGTGTACAGTATTGTATTCTATTTAAATTAATCATTCAAGTAATCAAATGCACCTAACCTAATAATCTGAGAATACTACTGTACCAAGTTCACCACATCATTTCTTAAATTGTGTTTTGGTGATTGTTCCTGGGTTCTGGTATGTGTTCAGAAGAAACAAAAAACATTTGGATACAGTACTATATTCTTGAAAGAAGAACTTAAGTTTTCTTCTATAGTAAATGTTCATAAAATTGCTGGTTCTTAGGGGACACTGTGCTACCATAACACCAAACGGAATTACAAATTCTACAATTCCAGCACTTAAGTTAGCTAAAAAAAATTTAATTAAGAAAGAAATAGCCTTCAACACAAAACTAGTCTAAAATAGGTGGTCTAGGTGTACAAGATCGATTATGGTAAATATTACTGGTTATAGTCCATACCCTTCCATGCCGACATTTCAACGAAGAACATAAATGCTTTCTTACCCCATGAAATTGACGTAAAGTGCACAAGTAATGTGTTTTGTGTGACATAAATTTTAGGATTTATTTCGGCTTTAATTCAATGACATTGGCGGCACAGCCAACTGACATCTAACACCATATTGTCTTCCTGGTGATAATGTGTAGGTACACGGAACCTAAAAAATTTAGGATAGGCTAGACGAAGTTAAGTTAGGTTAGATTTTGTTATGGAGCTTAGCTTGATTCATTCTATAAACCATAAATTATAGAATGTAGCAATACCTACATGAATGCTAGCAGTTACCAAGAGGGATCATCGATAATTCATTTATCATTCGCAAAATGAACCAAACTAAACTATCAAATAATATATAATCTATTAAACCTTACCCAACCTAAAACGCTTGTACAGTACTGTAGTCATATTGTATTTTCATCCTCTAAGAAAACTATGAAAAGAATCAATACAGTACTGTAATATATGACAAACACTGAAGACACTGCAGAAGGATTTTGGAGTCCTTTCCCCAGACGAGACTTAAAAATGCATAAGTGATTTAAATAAAATGGCATTTATTCCCAACCTACGACATAGAAGTAAAAACTATGGGGATTTTTCTAGTGATTTTTATGTTTTAAACGAATTTATCCTTCGTTTCTAATGCAAATCACTAGTTTCTGATATCACCCCCCACCCGTTAAATAAGAATCTAGTGATTTGCAATACAAATGAAGGTTAAATTCGTTCAAAACCCATCCAAAACCCTCGGTGATTAATGCAAAACTTATTGTTCGTGTATATTTCATAGATTTCAGTGAGGTAAGAAAACAGTTTATGTTCACTAGCAGTAGTGAAATGTACAGTACGTAGTTAAGGTGCTCAACTGTTCCTGACTATTACTCTTTCGGTAATATGGAGTTTCTTTTGAACAACCTTTAATACAACAGTTATATACAGCACTATACTGTACCTGTCTTCTGTATGGGTCTCCTCCCAAGCCACCCTCAACCACTTCCTTTAACAACGGTAAACTTGTGTGAAATAGATTGATTTGCAGCAATTTGCATCTTAATTGGTGTATAGACGTTAGATAAATAAAATACGGCTTTGCTGAAATACCGTTTCTTTTGGGTAATGAATAATTATAAGACAATAACCGAGGAATGACCCGTGTTAGAGCGGCCATGGCTCAGAGGCACTGTTTACAACCCGCGGTGGACGCTCCTTTAGCTTTCTTAACATTACCAAAACGATCACTTTATCCTCTTCGCTATTCATCGGCTCGTTAGCCAACAGAATACCAGTCAATCAATTACTAGTCAAGAATGAACGCACCACAGTCCTCCAACCAAAACGTTTTCGGGCTGTTATTACCAATTCTCGGGGATTTGGACTCTCTCTGGGAACTCCTTTTTAACTCTAGTCACCCTTAACAGTCTCTGCCTGCCACTGGCCCTCAACTTTACTCATTAAAATTTTCCCCTCATTCCCAGTCTGTCAGAGATCGTTATCCCTCACCAATATGTTACGGTTTAAGTCCAGCTTGACCCTCTGTAGTATATATATACAATATAGTATAATTATGTACTGTATAAGCCATTTGTCAGTTTTTTGGCTGGTTTGGCAAATATATTTTCTGCTCTCAATGATCTGTACAGGTACCTATGACAGTGTTAGTCAAGTCTGTCTTTTATATTATAAATTTAATTGTGACTTTCTTAAAATGTTTCGTCTGCCTGTCTTCTATTTCATTTGGACGATTATTGCATAATGAGTCCCACAACAGAGATCATTATTCATGCTCCAAGATCTGAATTAAATTGATGTAACCAAAGAGTAGAGGAGAAATGCAGTAAATACTACATAATCTCTTATTACTTCAGTCAGCCATTTTGTTACATGTTGATCTTCCCCCATAAACACATACACTACTGTACTATTTAGGAAATGACAACGGTTCTGTTCAGGTCTCAAACAATCCTTTCCTACTCTGACACAAATACATTTATAATCACTCACCATTAGAATACTACAGAGCACTTACTGTTAATTTTAATGCAAATGTTAGGCTTTGTAGAATTTCAGTAGTCTAAACCAGAGGCACTAACCCAACAGACATGTACTGTACATTTGTAAGTACTTGTTCATTCCTATTTCCATCAAACCCGAGGGTTACAATATTTTTTGATGGGTGTACAGTCGGGGACAATAGTTCTCTCTCCGTGGTGAAAGTCACGGAAACGAGTTTCCGAACTTACTAACCCTTACTGTCATCTGGTGAAGGTGTGGTTTCATCCTTTAGGGTCAGTGCTGCTTCATTTTGGGAAGGTCGAAGTCTGGTCTTGAAACAGTACAAACTCCGTGCCATGATAAAGCTGTCTGGCAGGTTGTCCAGCCATTTTCTCAAATGGCAGTTCATGCCCTTTTTCAGGAAGTCTTTTAGATTATTGAATACTATTTTTGGCTTAACCTATTCTTGATTTTATTTCTTTTGCACATCTACCATAATTTATAAAGATGTGTATTGGTACTGCAGTCCCATATCCTGCTCTTGCATGAATGCACACAGCACAAGACTTTTTTTTGGATGATATCTCATGTTACGTAGGGACTACTTGTATGAAGAAAACCCATCCTTACCTGTAAAATCAAAGCAATTATAACCCAATAGTAACAAAACCAAATTATATAAATAATGTACAGAGGTGCTGAACAAAGTATTGCCACATTCATAAGTATCAGCGAACATTCGTAAGTTGAGGCAGATTTTTATTATGGATATAAAATACCCTGTAGGAGCACGTTAGTAAGTATGGGTGTTCGTAACACAAGCATTTGTAACTTGGCGATCCTCTGTATGGAGATTGTGGTTGAGTGTTGACACTTTGAAAGTTTATTTGTAGACAAATAACATGAAGTGTTGGGGAACAATGAAGTAAGTTAGTGTACAGGTATCTGCAGTAACTAATATTATAACCAAACTGACAAGTACTCAGGATTATTATATGATTTCTTTGGACACGTTCACAAATGTACCCACTTTATGTAATTATCCATTTTACAGAAGCCTCTTGGCTCCAAACTTTTTGGTTAGCAGATACTTTACTGTACGTATTCACTTAGGGAATCTGCAGTCAGATTATCCTCCTCCAAAGCCAGCCTGTTTTCATCCTTTACAGGGTCAACCTGGATGTATGTGGGGTCTAGGATGAAATAAATGTTGTTAAGATCTTCAATACTGTACATACAGTACATTCATTTCATATACAAGATATGTTTTACAAGGATATTTTAATAATTAACAATTAGGATTTTTGAATGTGCCACTACTATATCGTAATATCACAAATTACTGTACACTGTAATAGAAAATTTAAAATAATATACAGCACAGGGATATTTTAAATTTTCTTAAAACTGAACTTCAACCAGCAAGGCTCTTGAACAGTGTGAGAGACAGGTGTTACAAGTGAGCTACCCAGTGCTTTAAAGGACTAACCAATTCAATTATGAATTAAATACCTGATCATCTTATTAAGCACTGTGGGTATTTCAATGGGGCCAGTCTTACATCAAGTGACCCTGAAAGGTCTTTTTACCAAGACCACAGGTACACTCGCAACAAAAAGTATCGGTGCATACTGTAGTGTGAACAATTTGAGACCAGTGACGATAGGTATTGGGAAAGGCGAGTTGTTCCAGCCGTATGTTGGCAGCCCTGATTGTCAGCCATATGGCAACACCTAGTGGAGGGGGGGTTTATGAGGATACACTTGCCAACATTCCCGACATATCAGTGTATATGTATCGTTTCGGAACTCGTCAATCTCACCCTGCACCGATACTTTTTGGTGCGAGTGTACATGCAGAGTATAGGTTTATACATTTCATGAAATGCGAATAACACCTGCACATCAGTAAAGCAGAACATACCAAACCTCAACCAGTAAAGCTTAAATTTAAGCTCACAGAATGGGCTTCATGATTTATCACTGAACTACTGCACCTGGCCAGTCCTTTAAACATGGCTCTTTGATAATGGACCATATATCCATTTACTGTATATTTTAGGCACTAGATCTCAATGAAGCCAGAGACCCATAATGCTTACTAGGACCCAGCACCCTTCCCTGTGTGACACATTTAGAAAAAATCAGTGCTATCATACTCTTCCATAAAGACAGAAGTACAACATGTCTTGTGAGAAAAATCCAAGTTAGCCATAACAAGCCAGCCTTGTCACTGAGAGCTATTGTACTGATGTTTGTAAACAATAGTGTTCTGATTCACAACTGTGCATAGCTTATTCAAAAAGGACATAATATACTGTATACAGCAAAATCACCACAAAAAAAAAGAAAGGGGCTGAACCATAAGCCCACATTGAATGGATTAGAGAACTGAATAGCCTAATGGTCATACTCCAGCCTCTCACACTGTAAGCAAATTGGGTTGGAGCCTGCAGGCCCCAAGCATCACTCATTAATATTTATTAATTATTATTTTATCAAATTTCTAAGAAAAGCGCAGAACAAAATTACCTGGCAATTTTCTAACATAATACTGGTGATTTTTTCCATTAGGAAGTCTGGCAACCCTGACTACAGGATCAGTATCAGCCCTAGAACAACCATTACCAGTCTGCAGCTACAGCAATCAAAACATTCCTATTAGATAAGATTAAAGTAAGTAAGGTGTTCTATGTCTGTGATCAGAGTAAATCATATCCAATCCTGTTTCAATAACAATATCAGTTCCACAATGTCATTACATAACTTTTATTAACACAAAAGGGTATCTGCTGTCGTAATGTTTTAAGTTTAAACGAATACAATCTCTTCAGTTGTTGATCATGCCAAGAAGAGCATTGATGGTCTTGGAAACACCGTCATGTATCTCATGAAACTTGCCCTCATACATGAAAGCTGGTGAAGTCACAACTTTATTGGCTTCATCAATTGTTACTTCATCAACTGCCTGTAATGGATAATAATCATTAATTCAATTATCATAATTAATCCAACTTGCAATATAGTATATCTTTAAGATATAAATTAATCTGAAATTAATTGAAAAAGTAGATTGAAACCTGAAATCCTATTTCATGACTGGGAGAAGCAAATGGCATGAGATTCACAGAATTTGTTAATCCACATGAGAACATCTCACATATAGGGGAAAAGCATTAATAAAACTGCTATCTTTCCAACCACATCTGGATTCATCCGTTCTGAAAGAAATGTCTCTCCAAATTATATCAATGCTAACACGAGAAGCAGAAAGCTAACTGAACCAAGACAACTACATCTGATCTGTGCAATAACACCTTTAACTCTCGTCTCATCACTACCAGATACCCTGTACATAAAACTATACAGTCCACTATCTTGATTCCAAGTTAATCTGCTACCTTGAAAAACAGTTCCAGGCTGACTATCTAGTCCAGCTGATAATCACAAATTTGAGGCTGTTGATCAGCTTATCACTCGTGCCTGGCAGTGTAGCAGCCATAAAAGGCGGCACATCATCTCCCTTATCATTATAGGCTGCCTTTTTATTACACATCTACCCCTCAGCTGTTAATGTTAATATAATTTTATTATAACCTGGTGTTGTTGAGGGATGTCTAAAAATTATCATTGGTAAAAGAAAAATGGCTGATAAGCTGCTTCCTCGACAGTGCTATCAAATCTTATTCTGCTTTATATAAATAGTTCCCTTATGGTGTTTCTACCCTTAGAAATAATTATCATTGAACTGAACATTTTTACCCAGCTATAAAAACTCACAAAATAATAATACACAATGATCACTGTTTATACTTAACAGTATGTTTTGTAACATCGGAACACTTGCTGTGGGTGTGACTGCAGCAGTAAAATATCAAGCTTCAAAATTTAGAACATATGTTTCATCACAACTATTCAATTTCCTGTATACAGTAATACCTCTTAATAATGAAAATCCTGGATACAGTCCCAGAAATCTCTGATAACTAGAATTGATAATGTGTTTCAGTATTTTTCCTGAAATCTTAATCATTTTCCAGTACTGTGCCGCCTTTATATCAACACGTGGTGTATTACATGTGTACAGGTATAATATAGAAGATGCCTGGGTAGTGTCTCCTGCACTCACAACAGCTGACGATATTTATGGGATAAAGACTAACACCACTCCTTGAGCTAACCTACAGTATATATCTATCCTGTTGAATAAACTTGACAATGACACTTGTCTGAGCTCCTGTGGCACTTATTGTTTGTCATAAAAGAAATAATACACCGAGATGATTAAGTTGTCAAACAGCAGAGACCTGTTGAGTGTAACAGTAATGAAAAGGTTACGTCCTTCACACTCTCTCTTTTAAACTTGTTTGCCAACCCCTCTTCAGCCCTTTAAATACATGTGCGAGAACTAGTTTTGTCAAAACATACAATTATCAACTTCAAAAATTTTTCATTGACACAAACAAGAGGATGACTTACCTTCTCAACTGTAGTAGCCCCCAAAGCTTTAGCTACCTCAATGGAACCTGCATATGGCCACTTTCCAGATCCATCATCTGTTAAAAAGATAATGCCTGTAATGTTTATATATTTCTCTTTAGACTCTCATTACAGGGTGGTCAGAATGAGGAACAAACAGTGATTACCCCTAAGTTGCCATCATCTGTTCACTCTTACTAGAGTGCAGTGGTTCCCAAACATGGGGGCATGCCCCCAAGGAGGTGGGTACAAGGAAGGTGTGAAGCCATCTGCCAAAATTTGCTATGTTTTGCTCAAAAAGAATATAATGAAGAAACTCTTTCAGGAGTAACTCTCTCTCTGTTTGAAGCTTCCACACATCCGTGAAAAACCAATGTATAGCAGTCACCCCTACCCATTTTCTATCATTTCATCTCTCTCTCCTTACGTGTCTTGTACATGTCATGGATACCATACTGACTCTCAAACTACTGTATCTTTCACAACACTACCAGCCACCAATCCTCCCTGGTATTTATGTTTTATTTGTTTTCATTCATGTTCACTATGCAAGGAGTTATCTGATCCTCAACAATACTAATACTGTATATAATTATAATAAAAAATAAAATCTATGTAGATTTTACATACAAAAATATAAGGGGGGGGGGGCGTGAGGACTTCGCAAAAAGCAAAAGTGGGCGTCATGTTAACAAGTTTGGGAACCGCTGCTCTAGTGTCATTCCCATAAGCCACTTGATTCCACAATCTATCACACACAGACTCAGCTGATTCCTGGCTGACCATCCCCCCTTACATCTATTGTATCCTGCACCCAATTCTTCCATGTACCTCGAGGTCTTCCTCTTCCATTTAACTCTAAGTAAAATATTCTTTTACCAATCTTACACTTCCATTTGGAATAACTAAAAATTCCACAGCACTGTGATTTTGCTGTGGGTTGGCTTCAAATGTTTAAAAAGTGATACCTTAGAACAATTACAGACAAAATGTCAGCACACTCAGGTTCAAAGCTTAATGTCTCAGCTTAGTCAACTGATGCTCCCCTCACTCTTACTCATGCCTTGTCAGCAATATTCACACCTCCAAACATTTCTTCATTTCCAAATTCCATGCTCTCGCTTGTACATAATTAGCATGTAAAAATTATAAAATACAGATTAATATTCTTTTACTTAATTTTTCTGATATTATATGACAGTAAATGAGGAGAAAGTGAACTGGCAGCTGGCTCAGTGACTGTGTGGTGGAGAGTGATGAGTCAACTTGTCCACAACAGTTTGAGGAATAAGTTATAGGGTGATTTTATGAAAATGACGACACATTGAAAACTTAATTGTAAACTTTACCCTAAATGTGCAGATATCTCCCACAGTTTATGGGAGAGTGAGTGTGTTTGTAGCAATAGCTGGCAAGGTTAAGTGACTGATCACATGCCTATTTATTGACTTACTACCTGACTGACTGAGTTATTTACAAACCCTTTTATTTGCTTTACAAAAATATTGGTACAACACATATTTTTAACAATTTACTCAAAAATTAATAATATTTTCCCACTCTACCTCACTTACTTACAGTGAGTGTACAGTATAATGTCTGTGTAGAAGTGTTGTGTAGCCTGTGAATGGAGGCAGAGTGTTGGGTCCTGGGAACCCTAGCTGCTGAACTACAGACTTGCTGATAGTATACGAGTTCCCAAATCATTGCACAATTTATAAAATGAAGTTTTGCAATTTATCCCCCATTTTCACAAAGCTTTGTGAAATCCCCTTTGAAATTCTTGAAATAGTTGATTTTACAAGTTATTGATTACCAACAGACACTCTTGTATTAGTGCTAATTAAGTGAAGAACAAAGCAACTTACCAGCCTTGCCAAGAGTAACAGTAACACCACTGCCACCGAGAACTTTAGCAGCTAATATTGGGGCAATACAACAGAAACCGAGGGGTTTCTTGGCACCGTGGAAATCCTTAATGACTCTTTCTACTTCACTGATGACAGTCATATCTGCTCCTTTAACTGCAAAGTCAGATCTGCAACAAAATATAGTAATCAATCTCAAAGTAACATGCAAGAAACGAATATCAAGCGAGAGTTCAAACCAGACAGTTATGAACTAATGACAGGGAAATGTTTACAGTAAAATCTCTCAATTTCAGTCAAATTAAGGTGGAAATCCTCTGAAAATGTAAATATTCCAAAATGAAGAGGATCCCCTCATCCAGAACCCAAAAACTCAACTTGTTCTATTTATCTAAGTCACCAAGGAAGAATTGCCCAAGCCCCAACAATCCTCACCCCAAAGGCAGAAAAACCCTCATCTCCACCTCAACACACGCTCTCATCACCAGCACTATATATTACATACAACAGTAAAGCTGCTATGCCTCACCTCTCCACTCATCTCAACATGCAGATTTTCTGCTACATTTTAGTTACTACCCTGTTGAGGGTTAATGTTTTTTTTAACAATTATTTATCTATTTTTATTATTTGTGTACTTTAATTTTTATTTCACTCCCAATTGAAATTTATGGAAAAAACTACTCGATTTATGAAATTTTTACAATTAAAAGATTAAATTAAGACAATTACTTTGCATGATTATAAAACCAATAGTAAGGGCATCTAACAAAGTTTCACCTCTTTCTCACAACACTTACAGATTTTTTGCAGCTCCAAATCCCCCTGGAAAGAAAACAGCATCTGCCGTCCCACTTGTCAATTCTGTAATTGGTTTAACATTTCCACGAGCAATACGGGCAGATTCTGTTAGTACATTGCGAGTTTCTGCTTCAGCTGGAGAGCCCTGAAAGGCAAAGGTTTATTTAATAAAAAAAAAAAAAATTATTTTTACCACAATACAGAGCAGTACAGTGCATTGAATTTAGAGGTATCATAGGTTAAAAGAATGATTCACATGGATAAAGAAAAGGTTCAGTTTAATAAATTGGAAAACTAATTTCTCAAAACCCATTTTATGACTGATGATATAGCAATGACTTGTGATTTACGGTCATTGCTAATTCTTTGCGAGAGCCACTTTACTATGTTTGCTTACTGCTATAAAATGTTGCTGAAACAGCTACCCTTAACCAGATCTCACTATGTTCTGTATTTCTAAAGTGAAGGTTCTCTCACAAAAGTCTATTCCATTTGGTCCCTCAGAGGTGTAGCACTAAGTGACATTTCACTAGGGAGGGAATAAAGACTAATCTTCTTCACCATATACCCTGTACATTATTGATTTCCCTGACTGCATGTCCTCCAATGTGTACATTTTTTAAGAGGATATAAAACATTTCAAAATACTGTATGGATTAACAGTTGATAAGATTCCAAAATTAACTTAAATATTAATTTGCAAGTTAATTTTACCAACCCTGCTGTACATCATGATAATAATATGGAACAGTAATGATTTATATAACAAAACCAAAACCAACCTTATGCTCACCTTAGTATGGTCAATAACATGCATCTGTGGAGCATCAGGAGCATAACAGATGACATCTGCTCCACTGCGTGTCAAGCTCACAAGAGCAGCAGAAGCTTCATGAATTTCTGAACCATCATAAACTCCTGATCCAGACAGTACCTGTCAAAACAATGTATTAATAAAGTTACCCAACTTCAAGAATAACTCGAATCAGGTGAATTAGTGCTTTGCCCTTTTCTTTGTCACCAGAAAATGCCATTGTTACACTTCAACTGTTTACAGGGGCAGGAATGTTTCACCTGATTTGGGTTCTGCCCCCGCATGTAAACTTAACCTAACCCAACAGGAAAAAACAACAACAAAAGAACCAAAAGAAACCAAAACTGAAATGTAAGTAAAAAAACCTAAAAATATAAATTGTTGACCAAAACACGAGTAAGTGCATGTGCACGAGTATTAAATGTCATTCACACTTCTGCTGATTGGCTGAGTAAGACATTAACAATTTATAAATATATTATACTGCATATATAATAATCAATATAAAGTTCTGTGGAGTCACTACGAAATATGAACTGATGAATATCCTTAAGGGTAAACGTTTACTTAAGTGCTGCGAGCGATTTCACCAGCAAAAACATTTTTTTCCTCCATAAATTTTGCTGCTTTTTTTATTGGATAGTTTTTTTTTTCTAGGGACAAAACAAAAAACTATTGTTTTCCTTGTTTTACCTAACTTAACCCCCTAGCAGGGGGAGGTTCGCCCCCCCCCCCCTGCTTGGTTATATAATGTCAATATTTAACCTAACAAAACGTATTCCCATATTGGGGAAAAGCTATTTTTTCAGAGTTGGATCATGTATTATATAGAATGGTAATGCGATTCAGACGACCCATGCACTACACACTCCCCCTCCCATGGCTCACCGACGGTATTATAGTATAAACTATAAAAAAGAAACACTTCCTCAAAAGAGAACACTGTCACTAGCAATTAACAATAAAAATTATGGTGAAAAATCAGTGTTCTTGCTAGAATCGTTGCCAGCATTAATCTTCACGTTAACCTCCTTAAGTAGCTGGTTCAGGCACCCAACCATCCCTCAGTCTTATCTGAATATGTATTTAAGTTAACAAAATTCTTGATAAATATCAGGGTAAAACCAGAAGACAAACATTCCAGACATGACAATGCTCTATGCTCCCCGTCTAATATCCTATACCCCAAAAATAATTGAGCAACAGAACTTGGCCTTTAGTTGCAGCTTGGAATTATATCTGGGGTAAGCACTTCATTTACATTTGCCAAATCAATAATTTGACAATATTACAGCAATAACTTCAGGTTAACATGTCAAAACTGCCGTCCGGCCACGCCAAACATTAAATTCCCTTTACTTCTTTAAATAACTTACTACGGCCACAGTTGGTGCCTGCAACGAAGCACTGTTGTTAAACAGACGTGCATAAATGTTCCTAGACGCTGTCCTTGCCACATTAAACATTGTAGCAACGATTAAATTCTTGTGGTGTTCTAGTAGACTCTCTGCACACTGACTGGCCACCAGCTGATGGTCTGAGTGACAGTGTCCGTTTGCTATACGTGACTGCATTGGCTTCCAGTAACTTGGATTTTCATCAGGTCTTATTCCTTAATGGTCTCTATTTTTTGTGATTTTCTGGTCAATTTCCTTAAAAGCAATATTTCCGGAAGAATATAATAAGCAAAAGGATGATGTGAGATGAATATGGTAATGCAAACGTTGTCTGCCTAATCGGACACATGATAGCCAAATAAGTTGGGAGAAAAGGAACTTCAAAGATAAATATTGGCTGTTTCACAGGATCTACATACCGTACTATTTAACTTCTTTTAATTATATGACTATAATTCTTCAGCGGAAATCCCCCGCCGTATAACACAATAGCAAACTTTAAACACATGTATTCATCCTGAGCATAGAGTTTTCGATTTATCGGCCACCAAGCCGTTTATTGTTTAACATGAACATACTTAATCCCCTAAAGCATTAGTGAAATATATAGATCGTCTTCAAGTGAACTAGAGGTAATGAAGAGTGAGAGAGGCGGGAACACCGCTCATAGTTACCCTAGTACGGGCACCTGTGGTTATGATTCGTTTTCCTTTGTCTACATTGTAAAGAAGCACAATAGCAAAGCATGTATGTTACACATTGGCCATATAATCATCAATTAAGGCTTTCTATTTAATAAGAAACTAAGAACAATGAATTAGAAGAGTGCGCATGCGCATATTGTCATTGAATCAGGCCGGAGTACAGTGCAACTTGCACTATATACAATAATTTTTCTTTATATATTGTCAAAGTGAGTGTATTATATCCATTATATTTTATCTATTATAGAATAATGAGTTGTTATATGAATCTCAACTGTGAAATCATACTTCATATATTTAAATAAATTATTAAAATAATGGTAACATGCCCACAAGTAATAATATAGCGTTTTTTACACTTCAAAGCTAGCGAAGGTGAACGATAAATAGAGTAAATTTGCCAGAGCTCGGCACCACTGTGGTCCTGAGCCCAGCAAAGATGGCGACACTGAAATGAAGAAGAAAATGGAGGACCCACAATCCTGTAGTATTGATATATGTAGGGGTCAAAAACTCATAGTTACGGTGGAAGAAGCCAAACTTGACCTTCTCCTCGTTACCTATGAACATGGCACTCAAGTTTTTCAGGGAGTTTTGCTTGATTCAACCAAAGGGTAAGGAGATATAAGGCTTTATATTTGAGCGGTAACGTCGCTACCAGCCATGTATTCCATCTTGGTCCCAGAAATAAGCATGCCTGTTGCTTCAAATTTCTCTTGTTTCAGTGAGGTTTATACTTTCATATATATGCCACATTTATCAGTAGTATGTTGTGCAGTGGATGGATAGTAAAGCTTCCATCAGAAACTTGTAGATCAGATATTGACAAAAGGACATAAGGTGGGGAGTTTTCAGTGGCAAGGATGACCTTTTACTACATAATTACTATAGTTATGTTACTTTCTCTTTTTTACACATAATGTTTCACTCAAATTATTAAACAAAATATCAAATGTTAAGAGAAAAATTATGGGGAATATCAAATAAGGTGACTTAATAGCCACCAGATTGCTGTATTTAAATTTGACCACAAAATTATTTCATATTGTCATTAGACATTTGTGTTAGGAATATATTACATATAACTATATATACACTGTGAAGTTTTGTTATCAAATGGAAATGAACAGTTGCAAGATGGTAAAAGGCTTGCAAAGATTTAGTGCATTGTTGTACAGTAGTGTGGATAATGGTCCATGCTGTGAAAATGAAGTTTAATATAGTGTATAGATTTTAATACACTAAATGTAATGATACAGTAGTAAACAAAAATGGTAAAGTGGCCATGGTATGATAGAGCACTGGTTAAGTGGGTATGGTATTATATTGGTAGTGGCCATGACATTAATGGTAAAAAAGTAATGGTTTAATAATGATAAAGTGGCCATGGTATGATTATGTTGTTGATTTTAAAATTATTAAAAATAATATAAAGGCAAAATGTCATTGGTTGATTTTGACTTACTTCATCAAAGTTGACACTACAGTACTGTACATAATAGCTTACTAGACACCTGACACTGGATGACTTTGCCAGATGACAAAACACTTCAGATTTGGTATTTACAAGTTATTTTAGGCACTACAAGTGATTATTGAGACTTTAAATTATCATCATGATTGTTAGTTGCATTAAAAAAATCATGTTCAATTTATATGCTCTATAAGTTAAAAGGAGTTGAGGATAATACTGTATTTCATGGTAACTACAGTAGTGCATTCTGTGTACTGTATTCTAGATGACTGTATCGTGCAGTACAGTGATTCTTATTGTCTTGAATCAAATACAGTAGATACATTAATGTAGTGGTTCTAATGGCAGCTGGAACTGAGTGGGAGTACCATAGTTGTGATGCTCAGTTGTAGCCAAGAACAACATGGGTCACTGAGTGGATGTATGGTATCATGTTGGACAGTCATAAGCTTCTCCCTCCTTGGCAACTGACAATTTCGATTACCTACCAGTACCCTATATTACAGGTGGTGATTGTGTCAAGAGAAACAAGATTTTATTTGTATAATTTCTGGAATTTATTCTGAGTCACACGTAACATATTGAACGTACATGTGTTGCCAGACACGTGCTTGGTTATAAAGTAGGGTTGTACAATCAATGCCTTGTTTAAGGCTGAAGAGATGCAGGAGTGAGCTGAATTCTTCCCTCCATCCTAGAATGAAGCTCTTAAATGGCAGGCACTGTAGTGAGAGCTGGAGTCCAATCTTCCCATATGGTTGAGTGGGTCTAGAGGAAATGCTTTTGACTATTTGAACATCTGACTTAGATTTCTCACTGGTCTCAGAGACAAGTACTAAATGTGGGTCTGAATCTAGAATCAACTTGGAGAGTAGATTCCATCTCATCAGTACAGGTACTTGTATAGTAGTAAAATGTGTGAATAACGTCATCTTGCTGTTGAGCAATGTATGTCTTTTGTACAGTAGCAAAACAACTATCTGTGCAGGTGGGGGTCGATATGCTCCAAAATTTTATGTGTGACAAGTGACAGCCCTCATATGCCTAAATTTATTGTCCATGGTCTCATATTGCTTCCTACAAAGTATGCACAGATAGTTGTTTTAGCTACTGTACATGACATCTGTTTAAGAAAGTTGTTAGTGGTCTGTCTCTTTGGTCATAAAAAGGGATATTGTGCCTCAGTCTTCTTTTTTTCTTTTTTTTTCTGTATCATTTTATATTTTCAGGAGACTTCCCTGTGGAATATATCCTCCAGGGGGTGAATTCCCACCTAAGCCACCAAAAGACAGCGTACTCTTGTGTGAGAATGATGATAAACTTCACTCGGTAAAACAGCGCCACACTTACTTTCAACAAGACACTACACCAGTAGTTGATCCAAACTCAAAAGCAAAGAAGGGAGTACAGCTCAGACAGTCTATCTCCCTCACTCAGCGTTTCAAAAACTCTCGCATGACGGTACGTTTGAGACCAAGACAAGTGCTATGTTCCAAATGCCAGTCTATATGCAATGAAAAATCTGAAAATGTTAGTGGAGCAAAAGGCCAACGAGCAACTGAGCCACCAACGGCAGCCAAGTCGGTTACTGAGACTCGTGGAAGCACAAGAAGCTCGCGTGACAAAAGTTCCCAGGAGCATCATGGTAATGGTACATCACAAAGCAAAAGAGCAGAACGATCACCTCAGAAGAATGTACGTTTGGTCCCTAAATTGGTGAAGTTAAAACCTAGTGAAATAGAGGCTGCAACAAACAAAGGCGTCAGTTGTTTAAGAAAAGGTTCACAAACTCGCAATACCCGAAGTGATTCAGATTCATGTGATAGTGAAGTAAGTGTTGGTTCAAGTGCTGCCTATTCTGTGTCTGGAAATAATAGTACTTTAGGTGGCAAGGTGCCAAAATTAAAATTATCAACTAACCTTTGTGCAGCCGATTCATCAGAGGCAAGACGAAAGGGTCGCATTCCAAAGATGACTATATCAACTCTTAACCTTGCCCTGCAATCCAGTGAAGCTTACAGAGAAAATTGGGAAGGTGAGAATAGTGAAATGAAAAACCAGAGTATACCTAAAATGATATTGTCTACATCAGGCATTATGTCAGAAAACGTCAGTGATAAAAAAGACAAAGAGAGTGGGAAAATTAGAAAACAGTCGGACTCAAGTGAGGCACAAATTGATGCTAAGGAATTGAGATTGAGATCAGGCAATGTACACAAGTTGACAATCACAGCTGCTGGACATCAGGACTTTGGAGAATCATTAGCTGATAGGGTATCTCCCATACCAAAGTTAACAATCCTTCCTTTAATTCAAAAGAAAGATAGCCAAGAGGAGAAGGACCTTTGTGATATGAAGCATCATAAAGTAGGTAAGATATCCTTAGAGGATTCCTTACCTGAAAAAATGAGCCTAAGAAAAAAACGTTCCTTGGGTTCAATGGAAGATTTATGGGATGAAAGTGTCTTTGATGAAACTGCAAAGAAACACAAAAGAGAAGACACAGAGGAAGGTAAAGAAGGAATTGATACTCAGAAACTTACAAGTGAAGACAAGGAGGGACTAGAGGGAGACAAACCAAAAGCAACTCCAGTACTTAAAATTTCTTTTGGACCAGAAGGAAAAGGAACAGTTCTGAAGATTCCGTCTAAGAGTACAGTTGTTACTATTAATACTCCCGAAGTAGATACGGAAGAAGAGATGACAAAAAAATATAAAGACATGAATGCAAAAGCAGCTAAAAAGGCATTGAAAAAGGCCAAAAAAGAAGCTCAGAAGAAAACTGTTCTTGGTGGAGCTTCACCTGCATACATTATGGGAGGAATGTCACCAAGGTTTGGAGGCATGTCACCTCTGAGGCTTGGTGGCATGTCTCCAGCAAGATTAGGAGGTTTCTCACCTGCACGATTTGGTGGTACATCTCCAGCTCGATTTGGAGGTATGTCCCCGGCTAGAGCCGCTGCAGTTGATCTTTCAACTCGTGATTTGCCTCCAAAAAAACACAAGCATAAAGTTAAACACAAGAAAAAGCATAAAGATGAACGTAGACATAAATCACCGGAGGAAAACAAATCCCAGATAGAACTCAAAGAAGACCATAAAGATGGCTCCTTACATCTATCTGACCCAGTTGATCCAGATATCCCAGTTGAAAATATTACTCCAGATTTACAGTGGAACACATCTGAGGGAGTTGAATATCCTGTTGATCAGTCTTCACAACCTGCTCTTGGTCTTACTCAAGCTACCTTAAACTTGCAACCAGCTTCTAACTCAGGGATTCCGTTGCAACCTTCGCGACATAAACTTTCAATATCAATAAAAAGAGTGAGTAATGCTAGTTATGTAGCATGTGATTCGAGCCATTCTGATGGGGAAAGAACTGTCACCCCAACTAACACTAGTTGTAATGAAGACATAATTGAAGATAAACCTCATGAAATATCCTTTGAAGTGGATGACATCAGACAGGATAAATCTCAGACAGTAACATTGGAAGCAGAAGAGTATGGTAAAGAAGCTTCTTCAGAATTATCTCAGTCTTATGAATTGGAGAGTGCCAGAACTGAAAACCTGGCATCATTAATAGTCGATGCAATTGATGACAGAAGTGATCGACCTCCAGCAACCACATATGGAATGGACACCCCAGAACCATCCCTCCCAGGTAGTGATTCTCCTGGTAGTGATGATGCATGCAATGGGGTAGTTCCAGACTTTCCCAGCAGCGCTCCAAATATTGAAGGAATTGATGGCCAACCAAGTGCTGCTCTCTTGATGAAACTCAGCTGGCAAGAGGTGGAGCAATGTGAGGTTGGAGAGGGAAGAGTTATGGCTGTTGGAGATGTCGTTTGGGGAAAGATTCACGGCTTTCCATGGTGGCCAGCTAAGGTACGTAAATTATGATAGTTTTCTGAAGTTTCTTTTCAAGCTGATAGATAATATGAATCTCAAATTCGTTTATAAGTTTTCCAGGGAGTACAGTATTTAAATGACTACCATATCAACTTATCTATGGCACTTTGCAAATTTAACCCCTAACCCTCTGGTTAATGAATTGAATTCACATACATACACTGTAGTCCCAAATGCAGCAAAGTCAATATAGTAGTGTAATTTATTTTTTGACTACCTCATGTGACACCCTGTCAATGCCTTCTCTTAAGTCTACAAACACAAAAACAGCACTGTCTCCTTCTTTGGATAATTCTCTTGTAGATGCCTGGCCATATTACCTCTGTAGTTCCCCTACCTGGCATGAACCCAAATAGTACTTCATTAATACGCACTCTCTCCCTAATCAATTTCTTCGTTACTTTCAACAGCTTTTATAATCCAGTTTAACAGCCCTTTTAATTTTCACATTCAAGTGCTTCAGCTTTTACCCTTGTAAGTACTATTCACGATCACACTCTTCAGCCAGTCAACTGGAACGGTACATTCCATCATGATTGCATAAACTAATTTGATCACCACTGACATATCATCATCTGAGGTTTTCAGCATTTCTGCAGCCATAGTGAGTGAGCTTTACTAGTTCATGAGATTTATATCTTTGGATTAACTCTTTTGACTGGGTGAGAATGTGGTTTTTGTAATGTTAATATTATTCAACATTGTAATTCTGAATAAAATATCTTGCTGTTAAACATGTCAATCCCTCTGACAAAGGCAAGTTTTGTCATTGCAGGATTTAGTGGTATGGATTGCATAGGTTACTCATTAAAATTGATCATACATTCACTGAACTCATATTATCCTTTTATTATGCTGAAGGTGATGGCAATCCGTGTATTGCGTGAAGGAAGTGGTGATACCAAGTGGCAGCAGGCACATGTCAGTTGGTATGGCTCATCTACATCTTCTCTTATGCCAGCTAATACTTTGCAGCCATTTCTTCACATGTTCAAGGTGAGAATATTATGTTACATGCACTTGTGGATAACTGTTTTGTTTTTTTATTAGCTGTGGGTTTTGATCAAAACAACTTCTGGAGGATTTCATCTCTAGTTATATACTTATACTGTACTGTAATAGGCTTCATTGGAAAAATTGATTTCACGTTAGACACAAGAACACATCCCTTCCGTAACGTAAGGGATGCCTGTGTATTTTCGCTTGTGCATTTAATGTACCCAGCAAAATATAATGATTTAATTATTTCAGATGAGATATAACAAGCGAAAGAGAGGACCATACAGAGAAGCCATCAAACAGGCAACTTGTGAAGCAGAGCAAACTTTATCTAATAACTTAGATTTTGACGATAGAGTGGAGCAGCAGCAACATCACCAGCAACATCAGCAGCATCAACAACATCAACAACAAAAACAGCATCAGCCACTACAACAGCAGCAGCCACAGCAGCAACACCAAACTCCTGAAAACCTGCTTAGTGCATCCCCCCGTGAAGTGGATGTTGTTAGCTGAGACATGCATGTGGTAAGATTCAGGATGGGTTAGATTTTCATCTTGTTTACTGAAGCAACAAATAAGCTTTAAACATATTCTTATATATTACATTATTTCTTGAATAATTATTCATTTTCATACAGTGTTATAAAGAAGAGTATTCCATATAACATCAGTTTTAGTCCCCGTGGTGCTGTTGAAGGTGTAAACTAATGATATAGACATAATAAATGCAGTCTTCATGTATTATTTTGCTAAGTATTGCAAACACAAATGTTTACTTGAAGTCTATATGAAAATATTGCAATTAATTTTGGTGCTTAAGAAAATTCCTATTCTCTTTGTTAACACTGTGATAGACAATATTAAGTTTCAGATATCAGTTCCTAAAGATTTTCCCCCATATATCAGTTTATTGATAACTTTCACAAATTTATTGTTGACCTTTAGTTTATTATTAAATACCCTGTAGTACATATTATTTCTTCAAAATTTGTTTTTACAGCAGATATCTGATGATCACTGTTTCTTGTTATATTTCTTTTTCTACTGTATGGAATATATTTTACTTCAGTAGAATGTGTTTAGTTTGCATTAAAATACTTTTGTGACAGACGAAATGTTTATCTACAGCAAGTATTGATTCAATCAATCAAAGACTCTAAAATTCACCAGAGATCTCGATGTCTACCATTCAATTGAAATGTGTTGCCCTTTTGCTCAAACATCCATGCCCTATATCAGTTGGTAGTGCATCCTTAAACATTAATATTTATTCATGTGTAAATATGATGTGAACTGCAATTATAAATATTTGTACTCAACAGGCCGAAGAAATATTAAACATACACAAGTGTGCACATTCACCCTTTGTGTTTTGATTCAGTGAATATAAATCTTTTTTGTTTCTTCATTTGACTGTGATAAATAGAACATAAAGATTAAGAAGAGTGGGACTAAACAAATAAAGTATTTTTAAAGTACAGAAGTATTTCTAGCACACTTCGATGAACATCAGTTAGATAGTCTTTTGAGTTGCTTTAAGGGCATTGCATTTTTATATTTTAGGAGTGGTGTTTACATTTGTCATTAGCACTCTTTCAAGTTTCATGTTTGTGTAATACTGTCCTGAATTGTGAGGATGCCAGAAGACATATGTTTATTTTTTCAAAACTTTTTAGCTACAAGATAATTTACCAAACTGTGATTTTTCCAGATGACCGGTAACTTTAGGAGAGTCGGGTGTGCTGCAAACTCAGTTTAGCACACTCATCTATTTTATTACTGTATTATTGAATTCAGTTTTTTTTGCAGTTTCATGAACAATATACTGTACATGAATTTTCCCCTGCTAATATAATGGTCTTGATATGGTTTAAAGGTATAGAAGTGGTGGGATAATGGAGTTTGAGGCACAGGAACCAGATCAATGAACAGGATATCATGATTAGCAAAAATCCACTGTGATCAAGTGGGTGGCATGCTGCAGTATTAATAATTTAGAAGGAAAGATTTAACCTTGTTCTAGAGTGATTCAAGTCCATTGCTAGGATGGTACTCTCTGTGTAGTGTTCAGTACAGGTAAAGCTCCCCATTGCTTCTTTATGTCTAATCTTAAGCCTATTTTCCAAAGGAGTATATTACAGATTTAAGGAAATGGGATAAAGTTTCTTTAAGAAATAAAAGGTGAAATTGATTTTCCATGAGTTGGGCTTGATGGTTAATTTGAATCGTGGGTCAGGTAAATGTTAAAACACGTTATTTTACTGATAGAACAAGATGTAACAAGTTGAGCCATTAACACAAGTGCCATATTGCATAAGGAATGAAGCATTTACATCATGGAAATATTAGTTGTCGGGGTCATATAAAATATACATAAAATGAAAATTAAAAAGGCTAAAGAAAAATATGTAATGCACTGTACTGTATTTATACTAAATGACAGTTTGTAGATAGATAAGTCATACTATTGTCCCAAAAGTGAGTTACAAAAAACACCAACAATTAGATGACCCAAGTCTAATGTACGTTATTATTCCAAATCATAGACCTCATTAAACATAATGTATAAAGTTCAAAAGAGTTATATAGCACATTCATTAGTTATAATGGCATTTATGTACATATACAGTAGTCTTATATAAAAATATGTTTTTTAAATATATCTAATGTTTTTTATATTTGACATCTACTGATGTCATGTAGCAGTGATATATATATATATATATATATATATATATATATATATATATATATATATATATATATATATATATATATATATATATATATATATATATATATATATATATATATATATATATATATGAGAGATAGTGTAAGTTGTTGTATCAGCCATCATAATACATGACCTTCCTACATATTCTTTTGAATGTCATGCTTACCATCAAATCGAAGTTATATTTTATTTTCCCTAATATAGCTGTGCATTATTCAGATCTTTGTTTTTGTTTGAGTACATGATGACTAACCAAATTCTAGATTATATACGGTATAATTATTTTGTTTTTTGGTTGCATCAATACAATAGATATCAGAATCCTTTGTTATAAATATACTGCTCGAGGGAATACATTAGCGAAATCTCTAACTTGGACTAACTGTGACAGCACCCAGACTGAGGCACAAGTACATTAAAGCAGATACCAGAGTATAGAGGACGAGTTCCCCAAAATCACGGACACAGAATCATTATTCTTGACACCTATAAATGGGAAAGGAGTCCTCTCTTAATACAAAAAGGTAAAAATAATAATTATTAGGCTGTGCAAAGGTGTTGAGGTACTATCATGTAAGCATATACTGGACTGTACAGTATAGTAGTGCCAATGCAAACCTCTTGGTGCACTCACTTGTACAGTTCTCTGCTATGCCCAAACAGTACTTACTAGATGATATGTGGTGGGCTGAGGCTCATGTACACAACCACAATGCTTCTCTCTTCTCAGGTCTAAAGTCATGTCTTTGCCTCCATTATTGGATTTTACTTTTATCACCTTCAGGCATCAAGTTTGACATGTTGCAATGTGAACTGACCTCTATTTCTTTTTCTTCCAACTTAACTTGATTTGATCTTATTTGAATAAATAGTCACTTAAATCATACACTCACAGGAAATTGGAGTCAATGACACTCAAGTCCAACAGTTTACAGTCACACCACATGTGTGTGTGTGTGTGTGTACACATGTAGATGCAATGCAGTACTGAACTTACAATAAAATATACTATTAAATTCCAGTATACTATAAAATATACACTTGTATAATACCTGTCACCTTTGCCAATTTTATAGGATTCAATAATCCTGTAGGTATCATATGGAGGCACATCACAAAGCTCAAGATAAACAGCAGGAAGTGCAAACCTCATTTTCAAGCATATATGCCTTAAAGCCAAGTGGCTCCTGCAAATGCCTGCTTTGTTTGGGATATGTAGGTTGGTGACCACACCATAATATATCAGCAAGGCTAATTGGTTAATGTTTTAAATAATTAGTCCTCCATATTACACCCATCCACTTTAAATGGATATCAGATATAAATGTTGCCCCAAGAGGCAAGAAACCTTCTTAACACTGAGTCCGCCCAACCAATGCTCACTGCATTAAGACTTACACACAGTTTTAGGTTAGCTTACTGTTTTGAAATTAATTTCCAGCTGGCCATTAGTGAAGGCTAATATTCCAAACCAGCTATCCCCCAACATGTTTACTTCTTGAAAAGCTAAGTAAAGTTTCATTACACCTCTTGCAGCAACCCTCCTGAGTGACCATGCTGGGTGGCAAAGCTTGGCTCCATTCATGATGACCCCTACTTTTGTGTGACAAACAGGAAACAGTTTATGGGGTCTGAAAGTTGTGGAAAGAGTGATATAGAAATTGAAAAGGGATAAGTGTGGATGATATTGAAATGCAGTTTGGATTAATGCCAGGCTAGGGAAAGAGAGAAAACAGTAATTTTTAGATTTGAGAAGGGTTTGTCAAGGTGCCACATGACGGCAGCAGAGATATTTAAGAAATGGGAAGTTGGAATAGAATCAAAGCTTGAGAGTGAATGTGACCAAAACAAATGTGTATAATGGAAAGTGGCCATAAGCTATCTGTAAGAAAGGTATTGGTAGCAACTCGATACTATGCAGGGAAGGTGGGTATACAAGAGGTGCTGTGATGTAAATAGCAAACTGCAAGATATTCTTGAGTTTTAAGTGATCTGTATGAGCAGTTAATTATTTGGCCGTAACAAGGCTCAGCAAAATTGAAACATGGAAAATTTATATTTGGCCCACAAATAATACAATGCTACAGTTGCTGGATATGTCTAATGAGCTGTGACCCTCCATACTTCACCTCTGGCAGTATATATCTGCAAAAGATTAAAAAACTTTGGGAAAGACGAGAAAGTCATGCGATTCATTGCCTCCTTTTGCTTGTAATAGTTCTAGACCTTTCTTATATCATTTCCCAGTTTAGGATACTGTATCATGCTGCTGCTTTGATCAGTTGGAAGAAGGTACAAGGGATCCACAATCACCTCATGGGATTTAGGAAATTAATTTGGGTTCACTCGAGCAAGCAAAGTGAATGCATGATCCCTGGGCCACTAAGGAGACAGAAGATTCATAGAGGAATACTGTACAAGGGCTCTTCACCATAAGGTTCAATAGCAACTTGAATCAGAGATTCTTTGGTACATTGTATACAAGATATACAAGAAGGTCCCACTTATTGAGTGTCATAGTACTTAAAGCAGTCTCTACTAACAATTGCCTCTGCCATATCTCCCGAGCGTTAAATTCTACAGTACTGTATTTACATACAGTAAACTCAGTTAACCGACTCAACATTCTACAAATTGTTCTTACCTATAGTTGTAGGCTGCAAACTGACAGCTCTTGCTATGTCCACAGCTGACTGTCCTCCTTCAAATATCTTTACATCTAATTTAACACTTTTCCTCTTCTTTTCGTGACCACAAGCTGTAGTGGGGCATAATGCACATTTAGTACTCATTGTTCTAGGGCTTAAATAAATTTATAATTGGTTTTAAGTGAATGTTGTTTGAGCATCAACCAACTGCCAAACAATAACAAATATGGCACCCGTACTGGTCACTTACACAGCCGAGCGCCTTCGTACCGAATCTTTAAAATTATCGTACATTTACCATTTTCATAAAATTTTCCATTTTTTTGTACAGTACAGTACCTCGATTATCCGACATCGGCTTTTCTGACTCGCCCCTTCCCCATATAGCTCGGTTAAACGAGGGTCTACTGTAGTATACTATCACATTTCAATGCATAAATAAGGCTTTGCTAAAATGTGTTTTTTTATACACACAATAAGAAATATGAGATTTGCTCAAAGCTGCATCTCTGCTGCAATCATCTGTTGTATTACTGCCCAGCACCATTAATTATTTGTAAATGATCCTAAAACCAAGATACAGTAAATAAGGAACAAGACAACTCAAGCCATAAACAACAGAGTTCAACAATCAATTCAGGGAGGATTAAAGAACTCCTAGGGCTAAATCAACACCCACAGCAGCCCAGACTGATACTGTGGCAGCTGGGGGCAATGTAACACAAAGTTTTCAAGACGATTTGCCAGAGCAATTAGAAATAAACAAATGCAAGAACAACCTTGTTATAAAGCATCTGCAGTTGAAGTAGAGAGAAGCAGATGAACCAAGAGTTAGACAGTTGCTCAGAAATCAGGTCAACTTTGTAGATGAGTTGCACATCACAAATGTGGATGATTTTATAAATGCACAGTACAGTTAGTAAAAAATACCTCCCTAAACATGAGCAGAGGGGTATCTTGAAGAAATCACAGAAGCTCCAATAAGCAGAACACAACAATGTCTACATCACCCATGACAGAGCTCAGAGACACCGGGGGTTAGGTTACACATCGGTCTGCCCTTGAATGCACCTCTGGGCCGGTCACATGCTCATGGAGGATTTAATTTCAAAGCCTGTCCCTCACAGTGTTGCTACACTGTGATGGAGATGCTGCACTTGGTCTGCTGCATCTTTGTCACAAAATGGGCATCCATATCATAATATATCGAGGGAATTTAAGTCGCCATGCCATTGCAAAATCCCATTATAATGCACATAATTGTGCAACTACTGTACAATAAACTGTTAAAAATAGGATTTCAGGATCAGTTCTTCATTTCTTGACTTGTACATTTTCCAGTTTAAAAACTGCTGAAGGTGTGCATCAAACACTTGCTTCACTCGTACTGTCTCGTCACCAAACACAACACAACAAACCCCCCACTGAATTTTGGGAAAATATATTCAGTACTTTATGTAGTGATGTAATAAAGTATAAAATTAATCCACCTTTACAGTGAGAATCCCTAACTTATTGGGGTAGTTGCCAGTGGCCATTACGAAACACTAATTATTCTATCCTAAAAATATTAACAAACTCCATTGAATTACGACAAAATGTGAATACTATACAGGTACAGTAATTTTTCTTGTTAGCCAGAACAATTGGTGCAGAGCACTTCTGGGTTTAAGTTCAATTCTTTTATGCTCGGAAAAAATTGCACATCTACGGAATTTTTCATGCACTGGTGAATGTTTCTACGTCCAAACTACGCATCTGGCATGTAACACCATTAATACAGAGGCTTAACTGCAGTTGGACAGACAGAGAGCAGTATTTATTTATGCAAACATTACTGTACATGTACAATGTTGCAAACACAAAATACTCATGTACTGTACTACAGTCCTGTATACTCTATGCTCCCACAGATTTTTTTCTGTCTCTTTCAGCAATGTACACATGCTGTATGTGTACACACCCTCTACACACTAGGATGCAGTATGCATACACTGTCTACTCTGCTATGCACAGTACTTAAGGTACTCTCACACTTAATGTAGTGCAGAATACGTAACTGTAATTACTTTTTACGTCAACACGGTTTTTACTGTATTCTTGGCTGATTGTATCCTGGTACAGTACTGCATAACACAGATTGTTTATGAAAACTGCAGAGTGAGTGAGCAAGCTTGTACAATGGCAGCAGACTGAACTAAATGCACCATGATGCTAGGGTTTGAGGAGATAGGTTGGGAGATGCTTCGGCCAATCACTGACATCCCATGCAGTCACATGGCAGCAGTAGCCAATAACAGCACACAAGCCTATGGCTTAACGGACTAACCCCAAGCAGCTAGCCCACCCACAAGTCCAGCACTGGCGCATAATGAAAATCTCTTGGAAATTCTTTTAAATGCCTGCAACATAGAGATTTTTCTTAGAATACAGAATTCAATTTTTTTCCCCTGGTAATGGAAAGTTCTGGGTATCGAAGATTTCAGCTAACAGGGATGTTACTGTATTCATGAATAGGTTAATGGGGGGTCTGGAGTTTGCCGGTCTTGCACCATCAACTACTGTACAGTTCAGTATAGCCAACTGTGCTGTGGCGAGTCCAAGATGTATACAGCTTGAAAGCTTTAGTTGGATTACCACTTTCTTGACCACTGCAAATTATAAGGTGCAGAAGATGCGAGTTAGGGAGTTGCTATTATATGTAATTTTACAATGCAATACTTAAAACTGTGTTAATACCATACTGTACTGTAGTGCTTAACGCATAAATTTTTTAAGACTGTTCAATACCTGTTCATTACATTTTATTTTCCCATACTATAATTAGTTTATTCAGTACATACAGTATAGCCTAGTATTGTGTGTTTATAGTATAGCATAGACAAATGTTAACGTTTGCAATTTCACCTAATGTTACAAGTTTTTCCCCAAATCTGTATAGTATTTATTTTCTATTACTATTATTACTACTGATAAATACTTTAATCATATATACATATATATAATTTCTTGACTCCATAATATTATGTTAGTACATATATCTCTAAAGTTAATTTTCAAGAGCTGATCATCTGTTAACCTGGATACAGTGATCTACTAAGCAGGGTATTACAATTAATGGACCTCATTATGAACTCACTTCATCAATAAACATTCTTCAAGTATTATTGTGATTGTCAGATGATTTGTGCCATTCATCAAGTGTATGTGTGTGAGTAATTATTTACAATAAACCATGTTAACTAATGTCCCATACTTAAGATAAATATACACTTTCTTCTGTTTTTTTTTTGCTTGTCACCTGCACTCTCCAAATATGATAGTACATGATTTTGATCAATAAAATGGACACAGAAAAGTGGAAGTTAACAATAGGGTAATGCAAGGAGCTCTTGAAAAAATTAATAAAGGGGTAGAGTTTGAGTGCTCAGTACAAGGCTGTGTTAATAATAAACTAGATATAAAGAATGGACGTGACACTGGTGGCTCAGTGAAGTGATAAATCAAGAATTGAGAGCAGCTAAAGTTGAACAGGTTCTACAATCATACTAGTATGCATCTCCATCTACAGCAGCCAGCAGGAAGAGCCCTTATTTATACAGTATGAAAGATTAGAATTACCACCTTGAAAAAATAGTGATATTACACATGAGATAACATTCAAGTCTCACCAAGAACCAACACTCAGCCATAAATACTTCGAGTAGTGAGATCCTTCCAAGTCGATCTACGAGTATATGGGGCTCGAGGCTGTCCGACTCGTCTAGAATTCCAACATGCATAACCTCCACTTAGGCGCTTTAACCATTTTGCTGAAAATTAATGTTAAAAGGATATTTAAACTGCACTTACTTCTATTGTAGCAGATGATGTTGAGGTGGAGATTGATGGGGGGCTGCTTACTCTTACAATGTACTGTATATTCACACTTACAGTATGTTTATTTACACTTATATTTAGTATGCACTTAAATCTAACTGATATCATAAAAAGTACTCTGCTTCAGAACACACTCCTCCCTTATAATGTACATGGAGACCCCAGCACTTGTTTTTATGTATAATATCTTCAGTTTCTCTTCAACTGATAGTTGTGAGCACCATTCCCTTTCTCCCAGCAGTGTTGTGTCTTTGGTACTTGTTTTACAGGCCATAATAATACACTAGGAAAGCACTAAATATGAAGAAAACACTGAATGTGAGGTGGGACTGTAGTCACAACAATAAACATGCGGGATCTGACGTCCCACATGACTCCCTTAAACCGGAACTTCTGACTTAAATTCTAAATTAAACAATTATATAAACTTATACTTTTATTATAATGGATACTTAATTAAACAGAAAACAGTGGGTAATCAGACTTGCCAGTGTCAAATCTAATCACCAAGGTGTCCCCTTGCCAGACAAAATATCTGAAGCAGGATGTTCAGAAACAGGTTATAATGGACAGCACACTGGTAGGGAGTTCCACAGAAGTTCATCAAATAGAATTACAAAAGGTAAAGCTTGGGTACTACCAGATGCCTTCATAGGCAAATGGAGGGTATGTTGTGATGTTACTAACTCATCAAAACACTGACTGGAAGTAGTTATAAAATATGTCAAGTAAAGAGATGTCCCTGCTCATATACAATCTTGACAATGTTCTGTTCTTATTACTAAATTTCCCCTGAACATGAGACACTGGTGTCAAGCATGGGTAGTGTTAACAATTTCTTGATCATGTACAAAATATGTTTCAATATACAGTATATATAAAAATAAAATGCAACCAGTTGATGGTGACATCCAAGGTGTTTCCAACTGTGAGATGCATACATAACACACTTCCTTGACCACTTACATAAGGAAGACCATATTGTCTGCAACCATTATTTTGTTGTCCTCTGTCATCTTTTCCACAGCAGCATCAATTTCCTCTTGTGAAAATGGTTGAGACGAGTGCTCAGTATTGACGAATTCAACCATTTTTGTCAAGTCAACCATCATTTTTCGTTCCTGAAATTCAAGAAATTAACTCATTAATAACCTATAAGCAAGGCAATGAAATTAAAGAAATACTTTACAATAAACTTCTGGACCAGTAAAACTCAACTGTATGGGAGCTCTAACTTGGGTTCCCAACCTTTTTAATCAGATGAACAAGTCTTTTTCTAGAGGGTTTGTTTGATGACTGTCAGCGAAGAGGTGTAACATGATGCCCTAAATCTAGAATTAATGCTTGTGAACATAATGTTAAACACTGCTAGACTATCAGGGAGCACAATGGTGCTTGCCAGCATCAGGTTGGGATCCCCTAATATGTTGAGTTATTTTGAATTAGTGTACATAAAATGGATATGCAAACATTTTTAACCTTCAAGTAAAAGATATCATATTTATTAACACCAGAAGCTCTCCTGGTTATATATGAGAACCAAGTGTGTAAGATCTATTGTGATAAAAGATAATTTCCTAAAATTCTTGTCTATCTGCTCAATGTTTCCTCCATAATACAGCAATGCATAAATAAAAACTAGGGAGTGCAATCTAGTCTACCATACAAGCTTTTTCCACCATTGACCAGTGTTTTGAGCCATTATGTCTGATCTACACACTAATATTGGTTAATACTCAATGCTATTTGCACACATGCAAAGATGGACAGACTGAATGCATTCATTAGTCCCCTCAAGCTGAGTGGCTGTGAACAGCAAGAAAAGGTATACATTATGAGGTAAGTTATGGCAGATGTGTATGAGTAAGGGAAAAAGGTCATAAGACAGTAATGTTATGACGAGTGTAACCAGCAGTACAGTATTTGAATCAGTCTCTACTGGATACCAGGTAAAGGCATACTGTACAAGATAATGAAAACATTGGGGTTTTAAACCTCAATCAATTCAACACTTTCACTTTACCTCCTTGAATAATTTTGTTAAAGAGCCCCTAAAGGCTGTCATTCTCTCAACACTGATCTCTTTAGGTGTAGACACTGTTGCAGGAACTTCACCACTGCTTTTAGAGGCTTTGCTGACTGTGCTTTGTATTGTTGCTGGAGTTGGTGACATAGGTTCCCCATCTTCCTCTGCACTTGCAATATCATATGGGTCATATCCTTGGGAAAGTACATTAAAAAAGTTATATTATGGCTTCAAACAAAAGAAAAATATTGAAAGTGGCTATAACAAGATACTGTACCTGTGACCATATATACAGTATTCCCAAAATATAAAAAAGCCAGAATTAACAGTTAGCTAACTATATTATCAGCTATAAAAGGGAAAAGCAAAGATGCACTACAAAGCACTGTAAACTGAACTATGCCAGTGAATAAGAAAATAAACTTGAAAGTATTCACTGAATAAAACTACCCCCAGGATGAAGGTGATACACTGTACAGTATAAAGAAGCTTAAACTTCACTTCAGAACATGTGACAGCAACAGGACATGCTGTACCTTCATCACCCGGCTTCTTCTTTGGTTTCTTTGATTTTTTCTCTGCATCACCAGTAGCTCTTCTTTTCCTCTTCCTTCCACCTTCCTCCTCTTCCCCTTGCTCCGCCTCTCCCTCTTCTTCGGTTTCTGTCGCACTCCCTTCATCATATTTACGTCTCTTTTTCTTCTCCATCACCTGGCATGAATAACTACCTTGTAAGAACTAAACTATGAAGATCTTACACAATAATGATGGTAATACATACATGAAAACTGTAACTTTGTGTGTAACCATTGAATAAAACATAAGATTAAAAGCCAAACTACCTGTACTTTAGTTTTCAAGTTAAACCAACTCACAAGGGTCTATTGACAACAAAGATGACGTGGTAGGTGATGACAAACCTTTTTGAAGTATGCATAAGATACCATTTCAATGGCTGCTTCAGCATCCTCAATGTCTACAACACGAGATAGTCTGGCTTTTGCATGAGCAGTAGACAAACGAATGAGAGTTTCCAGAGCACGAGCAGTTACAGGTTGTGTCTGGAAGAACAAACAAGATTAATCTGGAAGAGTGGATCTGCTAACACCACGGCTCTCAAATTACAAGTCAAGAGATGAGCAATACACAAAGAGCACATATGAGGAACTCTGGACGAGAACAAGACAAGTGACAAAGTAGCCTGAGAACTGTTTATCATACCATTATGATCTTCAAACTTTCCTCTTTTAAGCAGAAAGTGACACATCTCCAACTGGTCGTCTTGTTCTTGGCTGCTGAGCTTCATACATTTATAAAATGTTTCTTGTGGCTGGTTTTGTATAATACTAAGGTATGCTGATGGCAAATGAACAGTACTGTACAGCATTTCTTTAATCTTTAAGTGAGAGCGATTTTTTTTTACGGAGACTACTGTACTGTATTTGCTGACGGGGAAAGATGAGTTTTTTAAAAAATGGGTAAAATTATAATAAATTTTTTTGACAAAGTGCAAGATTTCCTCACTGAATACAGTGGTGTAATCAGATTTGCTGCAAGCCTAACGAGGGCATTTAGGCCAGCTTCGGACCTGTTTTTATTATTGATTCATTATATTATTGTATGATCAGCCTCTTATGGTGTACAATTCATCATGAATAACATAGCATCTTCAACAAAAGAAAAAATACTGTGCAATATATAATGTGTTATTTGATCCCAACAATATATATTCACTGAGCAACCAATCATATTAACTAGCCATTTACACTCCCAGAAATTTCAAAACTCCTGCCCACAACACTCACCCTCATACCTAAAGTACTCTATTACATACTCTAAGTATACTGTGTAATAAACCATTATTTACCTTTAGCATACGAATGAGTTAAATCACTGAGGCTTTTCACCACTTACCCGTGCCATATCTGCATGTTCTGTATCCTGTGATCTGAGGCGAGAATATTCTTCAGCAATAACTTCGCAGGCTTCCCGAGTAAGGGTAGGCTTGATGCTCTTAGCAATGTGTATGTACTTCCTCATGAACTTCAGGCTGACAACTTTTTCTCTGCAAGTGTCAATACAAAAACAAATTTATAACAACTACTGTCTATAATTAGTTACTACCCCAAAAACACATATAGCATGTCATTCCTGCACAAGTTAGTATCAAAACTATAGTTAATATTCATTCCCTACTTCTTTGTTCGGAGACTGCCATGCAGAAGACTATCATATTTCTCATAAATGGGAGTCTCTGTTTCTTCATCCTCAACAACATCTGGGTTGTGAGTTGAGAGAACATCCACTCCAATGCCCATGGGGAGTGTTTCACCATCTTGTTCCTGAGGAGATCTGTAACAATAGTAATATCTTCAGCAAAATCCTCCCCCAACATGAAAGTAACCAGCATACAGGTCCAGTATACAGTCTGTTGTTTATAAGTGTCACTGGTGGCCAGGCTCTTTATCATACATCATATATACTGGTAACTGACTGGCACCTTTCAAATAACATCCTGGGTCTTTATGCTGTGATAAGTAACACATATTTCAAATATAGTCAACAATCCATAGTTAATAACATCATAATGTAAAATTAGAAATTTCACTCCAAGTGACATGCATTAAGGATACTATCCCAATACAGCAGCAGCACTTGTATGTATTCAACCAAGTGTCTCGAGCAGGATTTACTTATGAGGCAGTACTGTACAGTACTGCAATGTTTACGATATATATACTGTACAGTACTGTATTGGCATACAAGATGACCTTTGAAGCTTAAAAAATAATTCCCCTAAACTCAGGGTCAACTTATACACCATGTACTGTATAAAATGTGAAGCTTAACTCATATGATGTGGGTAGGTTGTCATCATGGGTGACGAAGATTGATGACAAGTTTATATAAAATACCCAAAATATAATACAATATTGTATATCAGGACTTACCTATAACGATGCATGCGTACCACATGATCTGAAATCTTTCTGTCACTTTCAGGGTCAGCAATATCAAGCATAATGAAGAGACAATCAAAACGTGACAGGAGAGAGTCCTGCAAACCAATATTCTCCATGGGCATCTTATATTGATCGTATCGACCATATACAGGATTAGCAGCAGCCAAAACTGAGCACCTGGCATTGAGCCTAGCATGGATGCCTGCCTTAGAAATGGTTACACTGCCTTGCTCCATCACCTCATGAATAGCAGTGCGGTCCATATCACTCATCTTGTCAAATTCATCAATGCAGACAATGCCACGGTCGCCAAGAACCATAGCACCAGCCTCCAATCTGTTGAAAAAAAGAGAATTAATCCTAACCCAATTTACTATTTATCCCCCACCCCTCAAAGTAATTGTTACTGCATTCATATTTACAAGTGCAGTTGTTACATAATAAATCTATATTCATTGCTATTTCTAAAATTCAAAATAATGATCAAACTATATTATATTCTGCAAATGATTATTGCACAAACTTTACAAACAATTTAAATATCATTCAGGTTAATTTACACAAAAGTACTTTAAGCAACCAGGGTTAGGAATGTGAACAATACCTTCTTTCACCAGTTTCATTGTCTGTTGTGACGGCAGCTGTCAAACCAACACCTGAGGAGCCTCGACCAGTTGTGGTTATGGCACGTGGAGCAGTGTGAAGTACATAGCGTAACAGTTGAGACTTGGCCACAGATGGATCACCAATCAGCAGGATGTTTATGTCACTAAATCAGGTAAAAGAGAAAGTTGTCTTATATACCACATAATCCTAATACACGATCAGTTACAAATAGGCTGCTATGAGAGAGAACCAGAGAGCCATACCAACACCGTATAATTCATTTTAAAATCTGTGCTCATCATTATTCAGTGCACTAGAAGACAGTGCCAGGAACAGCAGTGTAATCATCTACCAAAACATGGAGAAAAATAAGTGCAACTCTCCAGTAGTTATCTCCTTTAGTCTTATGATTCTAACTCCTTGATTACTTCACGGAGTTGCAACTCTGCCTTGCCAGCTGTTCTCACACTGTAGGTTGGCATTTGGAAGGACATTCAGCTGTAAAGCTTGGCTTCAACAAGCCTGATCATAAACAAGTCACCCAAAATAATATACATGTACATCATGTACTCACCCTCTTAATCGGGTGCCATTAGGTAGCACCTTCTCAACACCCCCAAGAAGCATGCATAGAAGAGCTTTCTTGATGTATTCATGACCATGGATACTGGGTGCTAGAGACTTGGACAGCAACTCGAAGACATCTATTCCCTGTAAAAAAAATTTTTTTTTAGTAACATCACCATGAACAAAACTCATTATATGGTACTGTAGAAGAAAACACTATATTTTCCTATTCTTATTTAGGAGACACTACGTACCAGTATGTCCACCAAAGACTATGATTAACAAAGGTCAAAATTGAATAGAAAGTGGAAATAGCCAACTAAGCTATTGAGCTATACTGGTACTGTACAGTACTTTTTCTTTATCAACCTTTTACTTCCCATTATCCATAAATGTCAGGCTGGGGAATATTCTCAAAATCAATTCCAGCCGAAGACAAAAATCTTACTAGTACACATTTCCCCTGCTTGATACTAAACATTCAGCCATCCTACCATACCCGAAAACCCCCCCAAATGAGGCTCACCTTTTGTTTAGAGAATTTCTTGCATTTGTGCACATCATCAGTGGAGATTTGTGGAGAAACTTCCTTATTCATAAGTATGACATTATTTGCCAATAAGATTGTTCGGAATGTCCCGCTTGTGAAACTTCCCTGCTTGTTGGGCAGACAGCGATATATACCTACTATCTGAAAATTAAATATTTATACATTATCACTCAAACAGGCCAGCTGCCAAACTATGTAGACACCACATCCTTGGCTTCACAATAACTTCGTTGGTAAAATCCAATAATTACATTGATACCCCATATAACTCTGCCTTGTAGAACACAGTTTTGCTATAGTGCTCTTTGTCGGGGTTGTATTTAAAAAAATTCTGTGTGGCTGGCACTACACCAATCAGTACTACTCATTTACACAGTTTCAAATTCTTTCCACCTTTGTTTACAAACTCTGCTGTGTTCACCACTTTTTTTTTTGCCTTATTTTACATTTTGTGTAAAAACCTGTATGTGAAAGTGCTGGTGCTGTGGCCAAGAGGTCAAGGAAAAGCATCATCATGGATATAATATTGCAAGTGATAGGGTGTGTGTAGGTGGGTGAGCATCAGGTAGATATTGGTCAAAGCTTGAAGTTAGCTACATAAAAAAAAGAACCATTCTTAAGAAATATATATAAGCTTCTACACAATCAACCAGTTCCTTCATTTTACTGGAGAGGAAAAACACTTGAGGATCTTGAAGAGGTGGACTGAAGATAGACACAGTATCACATGCCCTTAAGCCAGGTGATCATTTGACAATACTACAAATATCTTCACATTCAACGCTGAATTCTCCGTGACCAAAGAAAATTTAAAAACTCATATAAAAGTCTTTAGGAACATTTCTGGCAAACTCAACCAATAAAAGTGGTATGAACAATGTAATGTACACCCCCTATGCCATGACATGAACAAAATATATATTAAAAAAATACAGTACGGTAAGTCCTCGCTTAACGTCGGGGTTACGTTCCTAAAAATGCGGCGTTATACGAAACAACGTTTAGAAGATCAATTTTCCCCATAAGAAATAGATAAAATACAGGTGTTACGTTCCCCAGCCTCCCTTTGCCCCACGAAATACATTACATATACAGAAAATCACTGCCATTTCTACAGAAAATAATGCATATATATACAACTACTAAGTTTGTATTGGTACTCACCGATGGGCGGAGGTGGTAAAGCGAGTGTGTGGTGGGCAGTGAAGCAGAGGAGGCGGATGGTGTGAGGGGAGGAGTATGGCAGGAGAGGAGGAGGCCAGGGAGTCACTGAGACTGCGCCAAGCCGAGAGAGCATAGCGCGGCCAGACGAGAGAGGGTGATGCACCGTAAAATGTAATCTGTGACGACGCAAAACAATGTAGTATTGGATCACCGGGACGTTAAACGAATTTTTGGTCTCTAAAAGTTTAGCGACGTTGTACCGAAACAACATTAAGCGGGACGACGTTAGGCGTGGACTTACTGTACAGTATTTGGCAAAACACTTGGTCAATATTTCAATATTGTGAGCAACTTACAGGGACTCAAAGATTCCCTGAAAATAGCCTGGACAAGCAACCAAGAAAAAGAATACAAATAATAAGGGGGGGGGGGGAATTGCCAAAGTACTTGAATCATAATTGTGTACACCACACAAGTAAGAAAACCAAACTAAGCAACCACTAAATATACTCCCCACTAGTGCTGTGTGGCAAAATCATTACACCATTTACTCATTCAACCTGTATCAAGTTATCAAAGCTTTTAACCCCAAAAAACAGATTCAGAAAAATCTACATACGTATAATCATATACAGTACTGTAAGTGTTTTCTCCTGAACTGAATATTTTACTTATGAAAAGAACTTACCTGAACTCTGTCTCCTGGTTTACATTTGTCAACTAAGTCATTATCCAAGACAATATCAACAGACCGTGGTAACTGACCAGCTGGGGACTTCTCTGGCATCTCTTGGATAGAAATTGTTTGATGATCCTTGTACACACATAGTCCATATTCAGTCTCCAAGAGATTGCCTGGAAATTATGACCAAGAAAACCAGCTTACACAACTTTACTAGATATAAATGTTCTTATTGTTCACTGCCTTGCACTGTTCCCTAATATTAAACTCAATCATTTAATTCTTCAATATGTCATATAATAATCATTATTACGTGTGAATAACACATGAAACATGACACAATATAAGTAATAATAATATACCTAAAATAAATGTACTGTACCATCATCATCCTTTGTAGGATAAATTGCCGTCGATGGATAAGGATCATATGACGTCATATCTGTGTAGCGTCTCTCCAACGTCTTCTTTGTAGTCGGACAATAATGCACAGACCGCACCACCTTTGGTCGCACCAGGGAACCTTGAAAACTAACTCTAGTAAGAAATAAACCAGTCTCCATTTGACCTGGAACTACTGTATACATACTTAGCTAAATGTTGTGGAGACAAAACTTCCTAAGCTTTTAACACATGGATGCAAGACAGCAAATGCAGAGAAAAGCAATTTTGCTGCATAAATCTAACTAAATTCTGAGCTCATTAAAACAGACTCATGATGGAGAGCATTCAGGAGCCAGCCACCAATACTGGATAGAAAACAAAAGGATCCAAATTACTGGTTGGACCATATACAGTATCAATAATGATGGGTTCTGACAGTTAGCAGTCATGGAAAAATAGAGATACAGTACACACAAAAATTAAGGTACTGTACAGTATGAAGACACACAATTTTTTTTTCAGCCCATAAAAAGGAAGCTGAGTTTTTTAGATCTCTTGAGGAACATGAAGACTGCTGCTGGGAATCTTGAAGGGACTTGGTTTTGTTTTTATGTGATGTAGAAGTAGAGAGATAATAATTGATAGGCATTAAAAGCCTATTTCTTTACTGGGGGAAAAAATAGAGGGCTATGCATGAATTTATGAGGCCAAGAAAAACATCACTAGTTTTCTACAAGATGACTATTGACAACAGCCCATGAGACTAAGTGACTGAACCTCATTCCTTAAGGCTCACAGTACAATATTTATAATTGTCGCCTCTAAAAATGACTCATTATAACCATTGATTACTAGTATATAAAAACAAAAGAGCTTGAAACATACAATTTCATTTAAAAACCTGATTCCGTATTGCAAATATTGTAATCATAAGTCTACAACAAACTTCCTTAAAAAATAAATAAATAAATAAATAAAACAGATCAACCAAGTTCTTTTAAATAAACGTAACCTGAACACAACCACTTACATTTTGTGACGATGCCTTCAACACACACTAAATTTCCAAGATTCCTTGAATTCAATGTCCGAGGAGAAACATGTTTACTGCCAAAACTTCCTTCAAACCCAACAAACATTTCTTCTTGGGTCTTAGCATAATTGGTGTCAACTGATGCTACATACTCCTTCAGTGCACGGTGAAATGCTGGTAATTCTTCATATGCAGAATTCAAAAGTCTGAAATCATTTTATCCATTATATTCCTGCAGTCACTCCTGTCTTTTTACAAACCTATGCAATACATTATAAAATCCCACTCACTCACTCTTTCACTTCATCACCACCATTCTCAGTCTTCCTCTCCTCCTCCATTTCACCGTATTTATTATTCACTCATCTTCTCCCTGGCCCCCACTAGAAGTCACAGCCTCAGGATGAAGAAACCACAAGTTTAGAAAATTGTCAGGGCAAACTTTTATGGAATAAAAGTTGTGAACTCCTAGAATAATTTGCCAATGTGTTGTGACAGCACTGAATGTGAGCTTATTCAAGACCAGGCTTGGTCAACACTGGTGCAGGTTCAGATCCATCCTGGAGCCAGTACATGCCCAATACTTGCCAACAATGTGTAAAGTTTCTGTTCCAGACAATCTGAATAAGCCCTAATGCCAGCTGTATTGGTGAAAAAGGCCAGAAACAAACTTAAAATGAAAACCTTGCATGATTGGATATACCAGTAGTGTACTTGTCCTCTCAAAAAAGATGCAAAAGGCATTTCATCAATTTTACAAAACCTCTTTGAAAACATTTGTGAATTTAAACAACGTAAGACTTCCAGCCATTTAACATGCTCATCAGATGAACACTCATTAAATGATACAAACTTGGAGATCAGCAAAATTAGGATTCATTTGCCTATGTACAAATCTTACCCTGTAACTCGCTGATGATTCTTCTTCCTCAGGTCATTGATGTTGACAACGAGGCGGCACTCCCCACTAGCCACCATATCATGCACCAACTGGGTATACACTCCGGAGTCTTCCTGCAACATAAAAGAAGTTTTTACCTCAGCGTTAATATTTACAGCTTACATGTCACACACTGCATTCCTGAAGATCTGGCTCAGACTATGAGTTATGTAACTAATTCTGAGACATTAGAAAAAGGAAAGCAATATTGAGTATGTATGGTAATATACAATAGCTACTTTATACAGTATATACAATACTAAACAATACACTAGTACAGTACCCTGTACATATAAGAAATGCACACTGTGCACTGCATATCCAATGTGAATGAAAGGAATTCCAATCATATTAAACTGGATACTATATAAATAAAATTAGTCATGTTGCTTTGTTTACACTGAGGTTAAACCACCATGGAACAAAGTCAACTCTAACACCATGACTTATTACACAAAAAAAAAAGACAAACAGCCCATGTTAGGTTTAGCTCCACACTATAACGGGATCTTGGCTGATATATTTGTTTGGAACTTAGAAACAAGACTAAAAGAGATATAACCAAGAAGGTTGAATAAATAAAATAAAGTGGCAACAGCCAACATTAAGTGCTTTCCCTCTTACACCAGCATATGAGTTAGGGTCATAATCTGGTGTTTGTGGAATATTAGCCCCCAAACCCAGTCAGAAGTTCCAAGTGGTTCTTTGACCGAGACTCCTAGCCGAATAACCATCGACTATTTGACTGGAACCTGCAGGGATTGTGTATGATTTTACTATGACTTTAATGGGATTCTGGTCAGGATGGCTGTGATCATTACAATAATGTTTCTTGGAGTCGTCATTACTTGATCTAAAATTTGTTTTGTGATAATATACTGTTCCTTTAACCCTCTCTGAATGCTGTGTTAACTATACGTGTATACCACATATCTAGCAGAGTTAGTAATTAGTTTTAATTTAGACCCCTTTAAGATATTTTACTTTATAATATAGTATAGCATTATATTTATAAGCTGTCAGTTATTAAAGTTACAATGGTAATTTCAATTAGTAAGTTGGTAAATTTGTATTTGTTGCCACCAACTAAGTCTCGGGAATTTTATTTTTTGCAATCAATAGCTTCAACAATTCTAAGACGCTTTTCTTTTATGACGTTTCCCTTGCAAATGACCAAACCTAACCTCCAGGACCACCCAGCATATTATAGGTCATTTGTGCAGGAAATGTCATAGAAGAAAAGTGTCTCAGAATTGTCTAAACTATTGATGCAATACATAATACACAGTAAACTAGCTAATGGCTATTCGACCTGGATCCCGATAAAACAAGTGGTTATTCAGCTGGATACCAGGCAAATAACAGCAGCCTAGAAAGTCTTGATTAAGTTTGGTAGGTTAATGTACAATCCTGTAAGAACTACGGATTTATATATACAGTATATATATTTTAGAGGATTTATTTATTAATTTATCTATTTATTTACACAGCAACTGTTCACCACATTAACTCCGTGGCCTAATATTACTTTCATAAATGTCCGAGAGATTACATCCCACTTGGACGATTCCCATTTGCACGAACGTCTGTTTTAGGCTATTTAGCGTAATCTTCCCTAACCTGATCATTTAACTAAGCTGGTAAAAATCAAATAAAATAGACAATTGTCCAGGTGGGATGACACCATCTAAGTCACAGTTCAAGTAACACTTAAAACACAATATACTGCACCAGTGTATTCACTCCCAGTCAATCTTACCTTTTTGCAGTCACTAGTATAACCTTCTCCCCACCTAGTTATTATTTATCATATTAGTATCACTTATGTTACTTGATATTATTTGTCAATCAAGTGACCCATTCCCAGATTATGTAGCTGTATATTTTCAGCCTTCCAGCTGCCATGTTTAAAAAAAAAACGTTAATTATTATTATTACCTGTACATGCAGTCTATAAACAAGCACTCAAGATATCAATTCCAAACTTCCGAATTTCCTCACCTAAAACGCCAACAATTGTCGACTAAATGCCTACTCACAACCATTAAACGATTCCCAATATATCACTACACTATCTCTTACCACAGGAGGAAAGACAATGAGTGAGATGGTAGAGAACTGTACGATTGAGATCATGTTGTAGGAAGTCGCATTTACTACAATAATATACCATTAAACAAACTTACATCGTCTTCTAGAAATTCCAGGTATTCTCGCTGAATGTCCCTGATGCGCTGGTCGATAACAACGTCAGTAGTAGCGCCCATTATGGCAGTACTTCACAGTGTTTTAGCAGGTTACTTCCACCTCTCTGTCGGTGTACTTCATCAAGTCAACAATGAAATGCGCGGGAAACGTCCAGCATATAATCTTATAAGAATACCACGAACAAAGTAATTATTTTTTTTTAAAGTAAGAAATCCAAAATTTAATATTAAAATAACTAAACTTGGCTACATAAAGTAATTTTAACTAACTCAGAATCGCTTTGTAAGATTATATCTCTTAAAAAATATATGGTTTCACGGCTTTGTTCGAGGTAATATTTTAACAGTAGCAAATTTTGCCGGGAACTCTCAGCATCGTTCGTGTAGTCAGCCTAGTATGTGACGTCATCATGGCATCATTTTTGTGTAAATATTATTATGGCGTTTTTCAAATCCTGATGATTCCATTAGCCTCCTGTACTAATATTTAGTTGATATTATTTTTGTTTGTCAGTAGATAGAAGAAATCATATTAATTAAAAAGTCCTGCAAATATTATCGAATGCGCCAGATAAAGTGAAAGTCCAAATTATATACTGTAATATTTTCAAGATTCAACTTTTGAGTAATTATGTCCAAGAGGAGACAACATAGAGACACCCGCCAAGCTGTCGGCAGCCTTTGACTGTACCACCCCACTAGATGCTGACTGTACCACCCCACTAGATGCTGACTGTACCACCCCACTAGATGCTGACTGTACCACCCCACTAGATGCTGACTGTACCACCCCACTAGATGCTGACTGTACCACCCCACTAGATGCTGACTGTACCACCCCACTAGATGCTGACTGTACCACCCCACTAGATGCAGGTGAGAATTCAACGCCGCTGGTAAACACTTTCTTTACTTTTATCCTCTTCACCTCTGATCGCCTCGTTAGCCTCTTGGGCGGTCGGTCACGTCTCTGTTGGCAAGTACTGGGCAGAATAATAATGAATGTATGAATGTATTATTCTGCCCACCATAATAGAGTCAAACAGTCAGTATTTTCATCAATGTTTTTACGTGCTTTGAGAATTTGCAGCCCGGAATTCATTGATGAGGAATATAAATATATCTATAATAATGGCTTGAACCTTAAGTACCCTAGATCTTTCATAGACAAATGCCTTAACATTACTAAAAAATCTTTCTATGGAACCGATCCCAAGCCCACCCATGACCATAAGAATCTCTTAGTATTGTGGGGTTTCGAGTTATTGGTTCACACTGAGGATGGGATGGAGAAAGGAAGCTCACAATGTGCTCTCTGTATACATATTATATTGGATGTACAATAATGCAGCTTGGTGACTGGTGCTGGGAGGAGGCAGCGTGGTTACAAGCGTGAGTAGGGAGAGCTGGTTGGTGAGGGTGCTCAGAGGCGGTGTTGCTTGCTGCGGCTGTAGCTAGAAGGGCAGGTCACGGCCAGGTGTGGTCTTATATAGCGGGGGTAGGCGTGGCTTGATTGTAGACCTCCCTTTGTTCGGGGAGCTGGTTACCTGACCTTGCCCACGAGGTGCAGGCTGGTGAATTGGCGGGGGGTCGGCTAGTCAGCGACACACGGCGTTTGTAGGGGAGGAATCCACTACAGTATTACCATTTCACAAAAATTTCTCTCAAATTCCTTTACAACTAAAATCCTGGAACGTCAATGTGGCATTTAAAAACTCATGCACTGTTAAACAAATGTTAATCAAGAACTCCCCCCAACAATACAGGTGGCTGCATTTATAAGGTTCCTTGCAAGGAATGTAATATGTTTTACTTAGGCCAGGCAGGTAAAGATCTTGCAACTAGACTTAAACAACATAAATATAGTGTTAGGACAGGCCAGGAATCCAATGCTCTGTTTGTTCATTTGAGGGATAATAAGCATTGCATTGACTGGGATAATGCCTCCTCAATATTACCTTGTAATTCAATTGACAGTAGTAACATTATAGAATCCAGTCTCATTAAACATACCGAATCCGTCAACATGAATTTGAGTAATGGTATGTACAAACTGGATAATTTCGTAATTAAGATTTGTAAGGTGGTGAGAAGGATGGGTCATCTTACCCTCTGACCTGACTACCGACTGCTGCGGCGCTTTTTGAAGATTAGTAGGGTCATTACCTAATACCTGACCATTGTGGACCTGATCTCACCCTCCTCTGTATACTATATACACCTTGTTTTGTACTTCTCCTTAGTCTGTCCTCACCCCTGAAGATGTGAATCACACGAAAGCGCTTGGGAACTTCGTGTTTTCTTCTTTCCTTGTGGGTTTTTTTTCTGAGAAAATAGAAAGTACCGAAATGGTTATTTGAATATCGTGTAGTATTACCTTAAGCAAATCTTCAGGCAACCTAGTTTATAGGTTGTTACACTACACTAGACTACGTTGCTGAAAATATTAAATGATTGGCTATTCGAAGTTTGTTTACGTTTAACAGGCTACAAGAGCACTGCCATTACCTAAGGCGGTATACCAGAGTTTTCTTTCTCATAATTCTTATTGGTTGGTGGATTAGTGTAATTACTTACCTAGATGCACGATAGATCAAGTTGTTGAAGAGGAGCAATGACATTATAACGTCCAGGCCATCAGTCTGGCAACTATACTTTCGTCCCTTCTTTAAATACAATTCACAGGTAGATATAATTACCAACCATCTGCCAAACAGCAGGGTTTAAAGACCCTGACAAATGAAGCAACAACAACGACTCAAATTAAAATTATAACGCACACTGCCAAAATTGCATAATGTTACCATACGTTTACTACACAAAGGTGAAGCATCACACGTATAGTATACACGGGTAGTATTACCCGATGAGTCACCCACCCAGTTGGCACCCGCAACTTATCCGAACTTATACAAAATATAAATTATTATGTCGAATTCCACACGTGGGGCATTCTTTTTTTACTTCATAAAACAAACTGATAAATCATCAATTAACTGAAACTTATAATTCATTAAAACAAGATTGACAGGATAAACATCTGGTAAAATTCTGACAATGTTTTTGATATGTGTAATGTTGTCTCGCTCAGACACGACCACTGTCTGACTGCCTCGAAGCGTCACACCTGAACTGTAGTGAAACCAACAATTCTCGCTGTATGTTTGCTACACAACTCTTGTATCATTTTATGCATTACACAAATATTTTTCAGTTAGAAATTTCTTTACAAATGATTTAAACTTGTAATTGGAACACACGTTGCAAGACAAATGTCGTTTCATTTCAAACCTAGCAATTACCAGCCTAAGTCTAGGCATCTCGAAGGGTGGTTTTACCAGTCTCGACCAATTGTTTTTTTGTTCCCAAGTTGCCAGTTGTATGGACGGTACTGTAAGGATAAAATCATAAATATTGAAATCACCGCAAATTCAGATAGTAACTGTGGACATTTACTCGGGATATTTTATTACACAGTAGCCTATATAATTTTTTTTAGTTTATAACTTCAAAAAAGATGACGTTAATCATCTAATTTTAAGTCAGCTGTAAATTAATACATGGCATCTTGGCGTGGCATCACGGAAGATGGCAACCCACCAGCAGACCAGACTCACCAGAGCGGCAGAGCCAGTGGCCCACAGTGCTGTATCACCTATTACCAAGTGTTACTATGTGGCTGCACTTCAAGAGATGATGGATTAACACTTCTACACAACCACTGGACGATCATAAGTACAGGTACACTTTGTCTTGCTCTCGCTGTAAGGTAAGAATAAGTACTGTCACCCTGTCTGGTCCCCAAGATATGCAAAGGACGGTCAGTTGATTGAAAATGTTCAAAGGAGGGCCACCAGACTGGTGCCTGCACTTGGGCACCTCAGTTACCTTGAGAGATTAGAGCGCCAGTAATTGCCTAGCTTATACTACAGACGGGCAAGGGGGGGACCTAATTGAGGTGTAAAAACATCTCAAAGGGCAAGTGTCCTTACCTGGAGCTGGCGGACGCTCGCCCCACAAGGGGTCACAGCTCAAAGTTGAAGTAGCCGCAAGTCCAGAAAACTGTAAGAGGTAACTTTTTCGGAGTGAGAGTTGTGAACTCTTGGAACAATCTGCCAGTGTTGTGACGGCACCGAGTGTGAGCTTTTCAAGACCAGACTTGACAATCACTGGAGTAGGTTCAGATACATTCAGGAGACGGTGCATGCCCAGTGCTTGCCAACAGTGCGTAAGAGACGTGACCGATCGCCCAAGCGGCTAACGAGCCGATCAGTGGTGAAGAGGATAAAAGTAAAAGTAAAAATACTATTAATAAAACACATATGCATTCTTTCAATAAGAAATATTTCCTTTTCGCTCGCTAACTGCCATTAGACTGGGAAATTTCTTATATTTATAATTCATGTTAAGAAAAACAGATTAACAAAAAGCCAAATACTTACCGATAACTGTAATCAGTAAAAATGATAAGTGAAAATGGGGTGTGGCATCAGCACCGTTTTGTTGTGTTGTGACTGGTTGTGGGGATCCTGGGGTAGGGGGTTTTCATGGGTGGGAGGGGGCCGTGACGGGTCGTGCACACACCGCCAGGGAAGCAGGAAGCATCATATCTAACTACTAAATTTCGCCCTTGACGTGTTTTGTTCCTACCAAGAGGAAATGACTTTTGCAGATCTGTCGACGTTACATGTGCATATTTTCCTTCTCATTGTTTTTTGCATCTATCTATACAGTGTGTCTATTTACACTGCCCTGTAGTACCCCACATGTCACAGGTGATAATGACGATTTTGTGCCTTTAATTACCACGCGTTTCTTGCAGTCGTGTAGAAAGTCTCTTATCCACGCTAATAGGTTAAAAGTAAGAGGGATGTGGTGTGGACTCTGAGGATGGATATTAAAAGAAGGATGAGGAACATGCATGTGTACAGTTATATTTGTAAGTGTGAGTTGTATGTGAAATTGAGTGCATAATACATGATCATACTCTCTTGCAGTCTGGCGCAACGACATCGGAGATGGGAACATATTCACGATCGTTGGGTGTTCACCTGGAGGACTATAATCACCTCAAGTACACCATCAGCCTTACCCGGGTGGGGCAGCGGGTCTTCTCCCATGTCTTCTCCTGGGGCTTTATAGGAGGTTCAGGCAGCATTAAGGAGGCCATCTTCAGTCTCCCTCAATACTCTCAAGGCAAGTTTCGCAAGGACTTTAATGCCAGCCAACGTGAAAAGATCATCAAAGGCGGACCAGTCTCTGATTTTGACATTACTTTGATTTACAAGTTGTTGCAGTTAGTGTGTGGCTTGAGTAGTGCCAGTGACGTAGTGTGGATAACAGAGACTTCAGACTCACTGGAGTACTATCTTTATGCTATAAAAATTAAGAGAAATGAAATAGCACATGAAAACATAAAACTGTCTCCTACAGAGATGGTTGAAAAGTTAGAGGCACTTAGAGTATTATTTGTCAAAACAATTGAGAAAGCTGAACAAAAATATGCCATTGACAAATATACAGTGCACAGCTTATTAAATACCATAAACCAACAACTGGATGCAGTCAGAGACTCTCGTGTACCTTTGGAAACAGAAGCCGAGTACAAGAAAGAATTATTTGCAAGCAGAAGATCTCATGTGATTGAAGAAGGATCTAAAGAATCTCAACAAACTTTTCATGGTCTTTGTCAAGTAAGTGTGGCTCCTTGGCTGATGGCAGGACAAACTGTGAATGTCGAGAAAGTATTCACACAACCAAGATTAAAACGAGATGAAACACAAATATTACAGAGACAGTTATCAGCAGAAGAAAGCTATGTGGCAGTGTGTGATGTCCTGCAGGCAACGGAGTGTGACGGAACACAACCTCAGGTTACTTTACTTTCTGCTTTAAGTGGGATGGGAAAGTCGACTCTACTAAAGTATATAATTAACAGGGGAGTAAATGATCCAATTGCTATCAAGAACATAGACAATATTGACATGATTATCTTCCTAGACTGTCGCAATGCTGCATTTTCCTCCTTAAATGCAATGACTGCGCTCCTGCTACCTCGCACTGCTGCCATGTTACAGCAGTCTGAATTTAAACAAGTACTCCTTTCACTTGATTTGCTTCTAGTATTAGATGACGTTGATGAATTGGACCAAAAGTCTTTCTCAATATTACAAGAATTTTTGAGAGTGATGTCACCAAGAACACGAGTTTTAGCCACAGTGTCTCGAGAAAAGACAAAGTTTGTTCGAAGAACAATATCAGCACTACACAAAACAGTACTTCAATTGGAAATTGAAGGGATACCCGATGATCAAACTCTACCATTTTTGCAACAGACTTTATGTTATGTTTCCCCTAATGTTACCTCTGACCAAGAGAGTGAATCAAAGCTCTGTCGTCTGATAAGTTCAAAACGTCCATGTTTGCAGGAACACTTGAGATCTCCCGAGATCCTGAGTCTTCTCGCTCTGAGCTGGGCGTTTGCTCCTGATCGCCTCAACACTTCAACCACTGTCACAGAGATCTTCATGTTAGTGGAAGACCTTCTCATCCACAAAGTTTTACAGAGTTTACCAGGAGCCTCACTGTCTACCATAAGTACTCAGACTGCCATTAGGTCAAATCTAAAGAAATATCTGATTTTACTGAGTGGTGTTGCAGCTAAATGCTTGAGAAATGGAAAATTTAGCATTGATTCCAAGGATCTCCTAAGACTGGCAGATGATTGTAAAAAATTGGGATTACCAGAGGATTACCTGATTTCAGCATTTTTGAACTACACAAATGACAGTAGCAGTAACTTTTCTTTGAGGAATTGCAAGGTGTCCTTTCCTCGGCATTCCAGCCTTCAATATTATGCTGCCTGGCACATCACTCAGAACCTTCGGGATGCTCCACCCTCTGCAACTGTACGCCAGATCCTAGGACTACCATTGTCTGGTATTGGTCAAGTTCATGAGTCAAGCTTTCAATCAATGATGAAGTATCTAGTAGGAATGTTGTCTGTGTTTCTCCCTGGACAGCTAAAGTCCAGGACAATGGAAATAGTTGACCTTTTGAAAGATTTGGGGGTAAAAAAAGCATCTACTTGGTTGCAGTATATTGAAGAGGCAAAGGAAGAAGCAACTCTAACAGGAGAAATATTAAGAGAGATGGGTGATGAGTGGGAAGTGGAAGACTTTGCTATATCTTCAACTCTAGTTAATATCCTCAAGAAAACTAAACTTAGCAAGCTAGTTCTTACCACAGTTGAAAATCCACACAAATACCCACATTTACAAGAAGTTTTGAAACTTTGTGCTGGATATCCGAAGATAAGACTGTCGCTCCATCTATACAAACACTTCTGGTCGGATAAAACTGAGGTGTCTGACAAGTTCTTAAACACAGTGATGAATGAGGTGTCACCATGTATGTTGGAACACTTTGCTGGACGTTTGAGCTACTCAGCCATAAGCAGACTTCCAGCCTCCCTCACTAAGTTAGCTCTCCACATTACACCAAATATGTTGGAAGCTTTAAATGGTTCACTGCCATCCCTCAAAGCCTTACAATTGCTTTATTTAAACTTGGATGCTTGTGCCAACACAGATCCAAAGACAATTCCATCCCTGAATATCATGGAGCGACCTGTTATTCTCTCTGTGGATATGTGGAAAATTACTAAAGCAACTATCGAGTGGTCGTGTGATGCTGCCAAGGCAATATCTAAAACTTATGCGCGCCTGGTGCTCCGAGGAAGTGATCTTGATGCTGATGGTTGTAGTGTGTGGGTGGATAAACTGCACCAGCGTGGGGTCACAGCTTCCTGGGTCGTGGTGGGATCTACTTGTGATGTGAGCAATGACCAACTTTCGTGCTTGCAGCAGTCTGCCACTAAAATTGGGTGTGGAAAATTTGTGTGGTTTAAAGTTTAAATTTTTTCAGTGCTTTAAAAATAAAAATTTAATCAAGGATAATCTTTGAATTGTACAGGAGTATAAGTAACGAGTTAAATTCCACTTGTATAATTCATAATTATGAAGGAAGTATTGAAGGAACCGATACTTTTAGTAGAATCTCTCAAGGCCTTAAATGTAGAATTCTAGTAATTACTGTATCACGAACAAGATATTTGAATTAATTTTCACTTGAACCTTTATATTTGTACCTGAACAATGTACTGTACTACTTTGGATTTTGTAAATCTATGGAGAATATTGCTTTTAATGAATTAACAGTAATGTTATGATACTGTACTTTATATTTTATTGTTTAGCTGCTGCTGAAGTATATAGCACAGATTTTACAATTAAATGGTTTAACAGATTGTCTTGTTCTTCATAATGACATGTTTTCACTTCAGTTACTCTTTTAAGTAAATAATGTGTCATAGGGATGTAGTTTACTCAAAACACAATTTACTGTACCATAATGTGCCCGAGGGGGTAAAGACTTCTTGTTCTCACCATTCCCTTGACAAACCTACATACACCAACAAGCAACATCACTGGTGCGCACCGACATTCTTTCGTGTATTGTTAATTTCTCTGCCATCTTAGTTGATCTTAAGATTCCCTCAATCAAAAAAGAAAGAGAACATTAATTTTCCGATGGTACACAATCTATGAGACACTTGGTACAGATTTCTATAGTTGGGGCAAACAGAGTACTTGAGTGGATGACTACACCAACATGTATACAACTGTTGACTCTGATTTATAGTTTCCCAAATGTAATACTCTAAGTACACTACATAATCATCCCATTCTTTTGAGGAAAACTACCATAATAATCCTAGCTTTAGGGCACAGAAACACACATAATGAACAACTTTATTTATTTATATCCCTCTCCAAAAACCATCATATCCTGTGCCCAACCTTAATGCTCAAGTCAAAAGGAGTATTTCTTGACTGCTGTGGGGTAGTTTTGTAACCTCATATATAAACCAGATGATATGTAAGAAACGACTATAGAAACTTTGTCCATATGATATGCTACCAAGTAATCAATCAAATAAAATTAATATGGGGAGAAAATGCTACAACACTTTGGAAATATATAGAATACATATACATTATATATATTTAAAGATATTTATTATCTGGAATGATATATGTTGTTTATCAAGATATGGTTAAATTTCAAGAGTATCATTTAATGGGATATGGCCTGCAGGAAGATATTCAGGTAGGGATACTTAGTCCCCTTATACACAGTGAGATCTAAGGAGTAAATCATCAGGTGCACATTCACCTTCCCATATGAAGAGCTTTAATACAAATTTAGATAAATTAGCAATTCAATAAAGTATTGTACTCGTTTTTCAAATCCTACCATCCAGCTGATATAAGTATAAAGTACAGGTGTATATAAAAAATCTAAATTATACACTATAGCTCTTAAAGCATAGCACATGTGCAAAACTATTGGGTTAATTTAGTTGAAAATGGCATTTGGGAACACCAGAATGAAACTCTTAACCACTTCTATACAAAATGGATTACCAGCTATAGTGTGAATAGGTTTGGGTGTAAAGGGAAGCTCTAAATTTTCATTCTAGTACAAAGTAAAAGACGTAACAGTATTAGTATTACCAAATACCAATTTGAAAATTTTAGTAACACTATTACTCCAGACTGAAATCCAACAAGATTTTAGAATATGACATGAAGATTGTAACTACTTTAAACAAATACACAATATCATAAATAAGAAAAATTCACAGCATTGCAGAAAGAGCCTAAAATACAAAATTAAGTTGTTCTTACGTTAAGCAAACAGTGGATGTGGAGATACCACGTGCTTTTTGGCACATAATATAACCATAGCCTTTGTATCAGTTACTAAATACTGAATAACTTACAAACTGAAAAAATTAAAGCTATTTTTAGAAATGGAATATACATAAAAATATTACTTTGTTGACTGTTAAATGTTCAGTGTGATTTTAGGTTATGACTAGGCCATGGCCTCAAAACCTCATATTGCTTTGTGTTGCTGGTAGTTCCACTATTCTAAATGATATCATGTGACTGCGATATGGTACAATAGTGGCAGGATATGTGAGTGTGGGGGCACAGGACATGTTGTTCATGAACATCTATAGCCATGGACTTAAGAGACTGTATGGTGCTGCATTACTTAAGTTCTGCGACTGATAATGCTTCAGTTGCAACTGCATTAATTTTACAGTTTTGTGCCTAACTCAAGCCAGTTATCAAAATTTTTCTTAGTTTGTATACTGTAGGTCTCAGAACATAATACCACAGTTGTGACCAAGTGAGACTCTCAACAAGAAAAGAGTACAACCTCAGATACTGTTGATTATGAAAGAGATTCTGATTTAAGAAGTACAATACTTAAATCTATAAAGATTTACAGGAATTACATTTATTTTTCCAGAAAAAAAAAATGCTGAAAAAAAATTTCAATCCCTGGTTACTGAAATTTATAATACTTAACGTAATTCCAATTAGTAACTCAAATTTACAATAGTTCCAATCCTTAGTATTTTAAGAAATATTACAATAAAGTCTTCATTTTAAATTCTTTGTTGTTACTACCTCAAAATATTATCCAAAAGCATAAAACTGTTAGAACTCAAAAAGCTTGATCCAAGGGATTATACAAGACACCATTTTCAACAATCGAGGATAATCTGTGCATACAATCATTTTTTTTTCACAGGTTCAAACACAATTTAGGTTTGAATTCCTAAAAAAAAAAAATTTGTTTTACCCATTCACATACACAGTAGCGAAGCTATGATGCCGTTATTGGCATATATGAAGAATTCTTCCTCTGAGATTTTTCTAAATGAGATTACCATGCATTGTAAAGGTATGCTAGCACCATCACAAGTCACTGATGGATACCACAGCCTGTCCCTACGTAGTTGCTCATTTATCACCACACGTAAGAAAAGTACAATGTATGAGCAGTTTATAAATAAATTATGCAATACATGTCTCACCAGTCCTGTGGGAATGTTATAATAGAATCAGAAAGGGTCAAGCACTGTAACTTTACCAGTAATACTCATTAATGTAAAGCTATTCATATGGCCACATTAGCTAATTGACATAAGCCTATCATCTGCCTCACAACTAAAATCAACAAAATGGAATTTACAAATAAAAATTAACTAGCAAAACAATCTGGCAACTTTCATAAACTAATATAAAAGCCAAGTTCTCTTACTTATACATCTTTCAACACATGAAGAAGGAACAAGCATCTGGCACACCAGCTGTAAGAATATGTGGGTCAAGGCACTACTAGGTGGAGGTGGAAAGTGGTCAATAAGCTGATTGTTCCCACCTCCATCTGTGCCCCTCCACATAACTACAAAACACCACACATACTGTATACCCATCATCTGAAAACCAACCAATATCAATCATTCAAGTCAAACGCAGCTAATTATGTCCACGCAATTGGTGTTCGTCTCCACCAAAAAGATATTAAAAATTATTAAAATTAAAATAAAAAACATTAAAATTAAAGACGAATATCTCAATTTTAACCTAGTGGGTGCGATGGGCTGCCCGGATAACTTCTCCTCAGACCATGATCATTCACCCAGACAGCTAATTCTACTATCCTTTGTTATGGTCACATGTAAGAAATTGGCCAAGAGCATTCTGGGCATTCCATTCATAAAGTATTTGAGGTTATCATCAGCTGAGGGTCTCTCCCAGTGATCATGTTTGCTGGCCAATGATTAGGCAAGATAATAATGACAATCTATAGACAATTCTATCTTTGCTGCTAGCAACAGGGGCCAGCATACAAGCTGAGCACCACTCCTGTAAAATTTTGTATTCATACTGCAAAATATGAAAACTTTTGCAATGGTGTGACTCTTGGTATTCATAAAAAAGAAATTCATAAGTTTAACACATTCATTTTGCCACATTTTTGATGAGTGGTGCGACATGTAACTTCATTTTGCAACAGTTCTTAGCAACAAATAAAAAGGTTAATTTATAGTGATCATCAGGTTGAATAATTGGTGAAGTATGAATGATTAAGACAGTAAACATGTAATAAAAAAGCTAGAAGGGATTTATTATAATTAATAGTGACTTGTGGAAGGGAGGGGAGTGGAACCACGTCACCTGCTTCAAATATTACCATAGTAGGACAAAATTATAAGTATACATTATGTTAAGTGTTCTTGTGGTCATTTTAAGTATGAATGTATTTTGTTACAGGTAGATATTTTTGTACGAGCACTGGTATATCAAGTTTAATGATTCGGAATGGATTTTAACAAATTAGATTTTTTATAAAGCCCAAATATCACAAGTGCTTTTTGTTATATCCAATAAATAAAAAAAATATGAAGGTGTATCCATTTTTTATCAGAACCACCACCTACTCAAGACCATATACAGTTTTACTAAAATATTTTAATTAAAACTGTTTAACCAAGAGAAAAATTATACTAGTAAGATTGTTTATCAACACCAATCAAATAACACATTGCACCCAACAGGTTAAGGAAGAAGAATTAGTAACAGGTAACCAACTACTAAAAAGCTTCAACTCCTTCAAAATGGCAAAGATATCTCAGCACTAAGTAAAACCCAGAGTTTAAAACTTCATCTAGTGTCAACAATACACCACGACCTTACACGACCATTCCCCAAGTAAAAATCACCAGAAAACATCCCTCACCAAACACCATAACCATTCACTATATATTCCTTAAACCATTAACCATTCACTATACATTCCTTAAAACATGAAGTATGTTACCGGCAGCAGTAGAATTGTGCAGGAATGAAAGGATATTCTCTCGAACTGTTAAAGGATAAAAATAAACGCTTTGCAATTACTAAAAAGAACCTACACGTTAGCTACAGTTCTGAGGTAAAGTACATATTTTGATTCGTATTTCTAGTTGTGAGGATTAACCTGGCTTCTTTGCTAAAGCTTCTGACAAAAATAAAGTTCATAAAAACTTCCCCGTCAATTTCAAAATTCAGAGATAAATTACAAGGAAGTGAACTTAATGAGCACACAACGGTGGTATAGATATTGAACTCCAGTGATAAAACAATGACCCAATCTGATCCACTTAAACCAAACAGTGAAACTACAAGTGAGAGTCACCTCCACATGCTTGGCATTTATCCTCTCCTAAGAATGAACTTTTGTCTTTGCTGGCCCATTTACAAATTGTAAATTTAAATCTAAATGGATGAAATAATAAATATGGCAGCAATTTGTCAATAATCTGAAATTTTTACAATAAAATGTATTCACATGACTAAAAATAACTTTATCTTAGGTATAAATCCAAAAGAGTATATAACTGATATGCCTTTGTGTATTACATAACAAACATTTTTAGGGCAACAACAACTTACCTGGGAAGTTGTGCCCTTTTAGTGCCAAGAAAAATTTGCCAGTCAAGCATACAACTACACCAAAACATTTAATCATGGATTACAACAACTATATTAAGATCCAAATTTTGTCCATTTAAAATTTTCAACATTAAAACAAGCATGAATAAACACGAACAATAACCCCCCCACAAAATCATTAACTACTGTACTAGAAAGTGAAAAAGCAAATAAATGATATTACCCCAAGGAAAATTATAAGTTATGATATGTTAGCCAAAACTCAGCCAAGGTCATCAGAGACTGCCAGATTACCAAAGAACATCTGGATTTGTTGATACTGTACTAAGCAGTCTGTTTGTGTGAGGTGCCATTAAGTTATTGCTTGAATACAACACAATAAACACGACATTATTCCCCATAATGCATGATCTGACACTGTAAACAAGATACAATTCTCAAAATTATTTTTGTTGTGCTTGAGAGGAATTAATTACAGACTTATCTTACCATGATTGAGCATTTAAGGCTGTTTTAATGTGTGTGTGTGTGTGTGTGTGTGTGTGTGTGTGTGTACACGAGTACAATGTATGTACTGTACATGAGAGTGAGGTTTTTCATTATAAGACCAGGTACTCTATTTGCTTATACCTGTACTGTACCATTGTATGTGTGTGAACAAGTGTGTAACGGTGAGTGTGTGTGTGTTTATGGGTGAGTGAAAGTGTGTGTGCATGTATGGGTGAGTGTGGAAGTGTGTGTAAACATTTCTGTGTGTAGGCGAATGTGCATGTACTGTTGTGTTTGGGTGAATGTATAAACTGTACATGTTTGTGCACATTACTGCATGTGTGAACACTCATGAATGAATGCATGTGAATCTTTTGTTGATGCATGCATGAATGAGCATTCACAGGTGCCTGTGCAATTGAAAACGAGGGGTATGGTGGGGCCTTCCTACAATAATAAGCGACGAGAGAAAAATGGCATTGCATTAGCAGTCTATAATGCAACTACATCGGGCGATCTCACTCATGAATTAACAATACAGTAAACCCTTTTGTAAGTAAGGGAATAATATTGGGATTCTGTCAATTGTGTTTGACTTTCACAAGGAAAACTATCATCTACTCAAGTGATACATACAGTACCACATCTAAAGACTTGCCAATGCCAAATTATGAAAGAGGAAAAATATATAATAAAAATCTGTAACATTGTTCACTTATATCTAAGCTAAAAATAAAAAAATGGCATACTGTATGTACTCCATTGTCCTTTGATGTAAACCTTGTTATACAATCTACAGAAACACCGAGAGAAATATTAAATTCATGTTTTGTTTCTGGTCTGTGATGTCTAATGAACTACGTTGATCAGCCATTTTGTGTTTCACCCTTGAATTCTCCTTAATGCTAGATAAATGCTATTCTAATTGGTTAATGCCTTTATCCAATTAAAATAAAACAAATTGTAAAACAGTTTTTAAGTGATAGAGTAACATATTTGCATCCTCAATCTTTGGTCACACCCAGATTAACAAATAAATTAAATTATAAAAAGAAATCCTCTTCCCCTAGCTAAGAGGAGCACAAAACCTAAAGCAAAGATTAACTGTCCCACAGAGAGAAATACACACTATATAAATATCCACAAGCCCACAGATATCACTTTCACAAAACAACTAAGCATGAGAGAAGTAATTGGCAAGGGGCCATTTGATATTGAAGTGTGACTGAATTTGCTGCACTGGAGAAAAAATGGGCTTAATTAAAAACCTTTAAAAAATCTACAATCTCTATGACTACTGTTGCATAGAGGTTGGAAGAAGCTGAACTGCCCTTTATAAAACTATCAGGGTATTAGGGACCGGGTCATCATCTTTACAAGCCAGACGTACTGTACGAGATGCTTACTAATGCCACTCAGTCAATTCTGGCAAAAACCGTTTATTCTTCCTTTAATTCTCAAGAATAGTAATGGTCTTGTACTTACTCAAATTCAAATTATCTGGAGGCAGGTTTTTACCGCATAAATTGGAAGACAACTCGGTTCTAAGCAATAATTATTATAATAAAAAAAACATATTAAAGTAAATTGAATATACTATATGAGCATAACAACTCCAAACAAAAGGAAAACGTTATTGCCCATTAGACAACCCGGTAACCCCCCATAATACCTGGACGAAATATTTTGAATGAACACTGTAAGGACTTGCTACCAGACCTATGTGGACGCAGCTCTACTGATCGTTATCATTAGTATGACTATTCTGGTTTTCAGTCTTGCTAAACAAGATTGGCAGTTTTATAAGAATTTACAATGGGTTCAGTTTAGCCATGGCAAATCAGTTAAACTGAAGAATTTTTTAGTGACAAAACTGCTAATCCTGAAACATCCAATGTGGATGGAATATGGTTAGCTAAAGAAAACTAAAGAAAATATACACATTTTTCTATCAGATGCAGCATCACAACAACCTACTTATTGGACAAAAGTTTGTCTTTAGAACTACCAATCTTGAATGATCCCATACATCAAAGTGAGCACTCCTTCACGATGCACCTCACAATGACAGATTAACTAAGTTTGAACTCCCATGTTAAACTTCTTACTTTGACTGCATATTTGTGCAGATTTCACCTAAAATGCATATAAAACTTCTAAAATGCTCTCATTACTGGACCCAATATCTTCAATATTGAAGTAATTTGTATATGAAAAAGATATTCTTTCTACCCTGGGGTTTGGTAACTACATTCAGGAAGACTGGGGATCCGCACACGATCTTGGCGGAGTAGAGTTGCCGTTTGCTGTCGTACTAGAATGTAGCTGCACCTTGCCTCATGGCATCACATGAGCTATAATTATATGGCACCCAAGCCCAGGCTGCTCTTTGTGAATTGTAATGTTCTGTCGCTTGAACCATAACATGCATTGTCACGTACTGTCTCGAAAACAAACTGGTGCATATTGCAACTTTGCCTAATACATATCTGTGGCTTTTATGCATGTTACGGTTTCAGACCAGTACTGCTGGACATCACTTGAAGTTTGATGGAGAATAGTGTTTATGAATTATCATATCAAAATACCCTTAATGGGGTTTTTGGAAAACTGCAAATAAAACATTCCTTTTGAAACTGCACCAAACGTGAAGCAAATGTTTGCAGTTCTGGCCCGAGACTAGGAAGTACACATGTAAATGGTGAAGAAGGGGGGGTGCATCCCATTAAGGGGAAGGGGGTAAATAATGTTATACATGAGTATAACCAACTCAAATTTCAACATCAAGATTCTTAGTGACATACAGGTGTATACCAAAAAATGCCACTGAGAAGAAACAGCTTGTCAAAATTTACAAAACCATTCCTTTTAAAACAGTATTAACCCCATGACCTGGTGAGTCACAGCACCACCTCCAAATGAAGGTACACGTGTGTGAGGGTTGCTTTGCCCTCCATAAATAAAAAATGGCAGTAAAAACATGACTGCTGACTGCAGGAGTCTTTTACCTTAAACAATTACAAACCCATGTCACTGTGGCTTTGGATTTCCTGGTTTCATTCACACATCAACATCATACATAGTGTACAGTAACTTCAAAGCCTAAGATAGGTGTACCATCATAATTCTCAAAAGGAAAAAAAAAGGTGTCAACAGTACACATATGGAAGCTTTGTTGTTGCTGATCAAAGTGTAAGAGTCACTTATAGTGTAGCTTACTTGAATGGGATGGTGCACCTGATAAGTGCATTGATACAAAATATGGATTCATGCTGTATTTCCATTCAGTTTCAATTAAAATAATGAAAATACAGACTTAATGCTGCTGTCAGGGAAGTAGTCTTTAATGACTTAACATGTACTATGTAAGCCATCATGATTGTTGGCATGAGGTACATCAGCAGGTACATCCTAATAGCCTTTACACCGCTTCCTCCAGGTACAAGATTCCTACAATACAAAAATCCAACGTGTAACTTTAAAAAAAATTTACAAAAGAAAATGGTAACCTCTAATTGTAGAGTAGGATTAAAACCTGTCCCAGTTATCAGATACAAACTGTAATGTTCAACACCTTATCTACAACTTCCGCCATCTTCTAAATCTTGAAGGAATGCCGCCAACTTACTTTGACCCATACCTAAACTGGGGACAAAAAGTAATTCAGCATTACTGGATCAGACCAGCTCATTATAAATGTGGTCATTCAAGTACTGTGCATGACTACTTTTTAAAGAGTAAAAACAGTAGACACAAACTTTCATTGTCAAAGAAATGAGATTTCTAACAAAACCACTTTGCAAGACTTTGTTAAGTCATGAAAATTTTTTCAACTGTGAAAGATCAAAATTAAACAAACCCATTAAATTATTAGTACAAAATTGACCACAATGAAGAGGATCCATCGACGAGTAGGTCTGCAGATGAGGCCAGGAGACTTCATCATGCAAATGGGTGTTGTGAACCTTGAGCCAGACTAGGTGTAGTGAGCAGTTAAGCAAAGTACATGACTCTGTTGGTGTCCACATGCACTGTCACTGCTCGAGCCATTGCTGACGGAGTGCGGTCCTCACTATTACCCGACTGGTGAGACCCCTCTCCACTGTTCACAGACAAAAAGAAGAGCATATTACATATAGTATAAAACAAGATATTCTTACACATGTCATTTTACAAACTACAGTGCATATAAATTAATTTGATTGTATCTTGCTTATGTCTTTTATAGAAGTTTTTCTAAGTAGCAGTATAATTTTACAGACTATTCCACTGAAAAACCTGTTTCTTGATTAGTAAAAAAGTTGTATGGTGATTTATCCTAATACACAATTGGTAACTCTTGCACAGTATACCTCTCAATTCAGTGTATACATATTTAACTCTTGTCCCAACTTCATAATTTACAAACATATAAAGATTACTAAATATACATACATTTGTAGACATTAATATTAGATGTTTCAAAGCATATAATATTGCCTAAAATATGAGTAAATCGCTAGTCGCACACAAACAAACCTGTCATGCTCTTTCTCGACGAGATGATAACGTGCCCTGAAGGCTACCAAGTGGGCATAATAAGCTGGAGCAGGTATAGAGACTGACCGGGTACACCGAACATATGTATGGCACAGCTGGTAGGTCAGGCACTGCAGTTCATCACTATCAAAATGATTATCATCCCATAGTACATGGTAGTGACTGGGACGACTAGTGCCCTGTGATGGGAGAAAAAATATATAAATAAAAAACTAAATGAGAGAATATAAACACTTGATCTAAGAATAATACTATACTGAGATGGAATAACAAGAGGAGATACCTGGCATTGTATATAAAGCCACACAACATAAGGGACCACAAGGAATTAAATGTTAGCATTGGTGGTAAAATACACAAAAGGGATTATGATCAACACTGAATGGAAACTTTAAGAGGAGTGTCTGATAGGAAAAAAATAGAACTGTGCTCATGTAACACAAAATGCCCTCGGTGGTTACAAAGTGTTAGTTTGAAGAATTGTAAACAACGCTAAAGTCAAACCAAGAGCCAAAAATCTGGATAGGCAATTTTAGTTGGTATCTTGTATGTATAAGAGCCATTTTTTTAGCTTTAAACTGGGTATTTTTTTATATAGTCTAGCTAACAAACACTGGTAGGATGGAAGTATGTACAGTACAGCATATGAATGGAGAAAACACAAGTGTATGTATGTATGTATGTATGTATGTATGTACGTACGTACGTACGTACGTGTGTGTGTGTGTGTGTGTGGGGGGGGGCACGGCACATGCACGGGGAACAGAAAAACTTAAGACCAAAACAAGCCGACTGCACTCCTGGATGTGTAGTCCTAAAATTCTGCAATGGGGCTTATGCTGCAGCTAAGAACATAACAGGGAAAAAGTGGTTAGCACACTACACCAGCTCACAAATGCTTATTGTCTCTGACTTCCCAAATGTGGATTCAATAGTTGGACTAAAGACAAAATCAATCGCTAGAAAACCTGACATAAAAATGCTTGTTAATACTGTACCAAACATGTTCAGTAGGTTTAACAAATTACCAAACATCAACAGTATAATATTAGTAATCATGTCACATAAAACACTAACACAGACTAGGTAATATGAAATATATTTGGTAAAGGTGTTTGAAACCCTCAGCTTAATAGGGCATGTTGGTGTTAAATGCACAATTAATTGTTAGTAAAACCAGAAATACTGTAAAAAGGAAAGAAAGCTTAAGGTAATTGGGGGGATTGTATACACAGTACCACCCCTGCTGATGGTGTGTTTGGCGAGTCGGTGACTATATCGGCCCCTCTGAGCTAAGGGGTTAAAAATACAGTATGGTACAGGGTTTAAGATGATCAATCTATATGTTTATAATTCTAGATGGAGTAACACTAACTTACTGATGTATGAACCAACCTGAATGCCTTGGTGTGAACATAGATAAAAGTCAAATTCCGTTGGGTGTGTGATGCCAACATCAACTGTGGTTCCTGCAGGAATGTTGCCACTTTTCCCACTCTGCTCCTTCTTGTCCGAGCAGAACAATCTGGGGGCAACAAGAATGAATAAATAAAGAATGCACAACACAAGGTACTGAAACAAATAGTCATTTCACAAAGATTCTAAGTGTTTTCCAAGCAGCTGATTTTGTTCAGAAAGTTGAAGAAGACCGGTCCTCTCATGCCCATAAAGTAATACAAGGTACACCATTCTTCACCCTTTCCATACACTGTTCTCTCTTACTGCAAGCATATGGTGACTTTTATTTTTAATTTACTACCCTGGAACAAATCTAACTCATTACTGAAAATTTAGAGTTGATAAATGTGCCAATGACACTGATTTGTCAGACAATAAAAGTTAAAAAGTGATATTACATTATATAAAATCTTCAAATCCTTCAACTTACAAATTTTAATGAGTTATACTTCATCAGTTATATTGATAAAATAATAAGCTACTAAGAATAGGTTAATGCAGTGGTTCCCAAACACAGGGTCGAAAGATGCATCATAAGGGGTCGCATAGAAGTTATGGGGTCACATGAAACTCATAGTCCAGGTGTCAAGGACTGAAGGACATAGCCGACAGGTGCTGTCTCGTTAAGTCGGCACCATAAATTATGGTTAAGGGAATAATGCAGTTACTCTGCTTGCGTCAAGTCAGGTCAGTCCAGGGAAGGTAAACGCTGATGGCTCGTTATGCAGCAGAAAAATCACACTCCTACCTTTGAATTGTTCTCAGCTCAATGCACTCTGTACTTCCCATGGATACAGACAGAAAATGGCAACAAATTTCAGTGATAGATTCCTTGAGTTGCTTACCAAATCTTTGGATTTTCTTCAGTTTCTGTTCAAGACAGTTATAAAACAGTGTGGCTCTTTTGTCCTCGAAATAGCAAAATTACAGGCTGACAATAAGGCAAGGGTGATTTTTGCTATCTAAGATGAAATATCAATGTTTTGGGTTATTTATCAAATTGACATTCAGCAGTTAAAAATAGAGCTATTAAGGCTCTGATATAATTTGGAAGTCTGTGAAGCAGTTTTCTCGTCAATGGTGTTTATAAAAAATTATCACCGTAACCGTATATCAAACTTAAACTTAGAGAATTGTGTGCTCTGTTATTGAATGACATAATTATATCCCCAGTTAACAGAAAATTTATTAAATGATAATGCACACACGTTACATATGAATTATGACTGATGTAACTTTTAATTAAAATTAATTATATAATGATGCACACAAGTCACATACGAAATACGTACAGTATGGCAGATGTAACTAAGAGAATTGTATGTTGTGCTGCTTAACCATGTAATTATATCCCCACGTACAGAACGTTCAATGATCGTAAGTCACATATTTAACATGACAGTTGTAGCCTGTTTCTGCCAGTGTTTACTTTCAGACTTAGACTTCTCAATTTGTAATACATTTTCCTTACTTGTTTTTACAGTTAAATAGGTACTGTATATCAATATGTCCGTATTTACTTTAAGGATCTTAATTTAAACATCAAACTGTATGTAATGACTTGGGGTCGCACAGGATAGGCAACAGTACTCGACGGGGTCGCACTGGAAAATGCTTGGGTACCCCTGGGTTAATGTTTAGTGTGTTGAAACTACAGCTGACTCCCCTGCTTCCCAAACATAATCTTTACGGGAGTGAATATGCTACTAAACTACCCTTGGACTTCAGTAGACTGTTATCTTGAAAGCATGTCTAGGAAAGCATTCTGTGTGAGTGAAAGGTAAAGAGAAATATTTTTATGGGTACAGAGAAACTTCCTTATTCATTCATTATACAGTATGTCCCTTAATCCATAAATCTTTTGATGGAGTTTTACATTGTAACTATGGTTTGCACACAGTACAGTACTGCTTTAAGAATAAACAAGATACTAACCTGGTATGATGTCGTTTCTGCACAGCAATGTAAGTGATACCGGGTTTGTAGTCTGCTTCCAGCTTGATACAAGCCTCTCTCATGGCAGTCAATTCATGCTGCAAGACTGTCTGGAACTGCCCCTCACTCACACCATCACGATACAGGATGATTCGATTAGGCTTAAATCGCGTAGACTTGTAAAACTGTATGAGCAGCTCCTTCACCATAGAAGACAACTCTTGAATCACCTCCTGTTAACATGAGGGTTCAGTTTGACAAGTGTCGTTATGGAGAAAAACTCGCAACTAGCAAATATACATGGACAATTTTATGCTACTTTTTAATAGAATAAAATGTGACTATTTTAAATTGACATCTATTGTAATTAACTTCATCACAACAATCATACTTAAATATGAAACAATTCTTTTAATCTTGTAATAACTTTAATATTGTTTCCATGCATGACAAGGAAACAATTACTGTACTGAAGCAAGATCTGTGAGGCTGACCAACCATATTAAAACTTTACTATCTACTGAAGGCAAGGAATAACTTTACTTCCAGCATTTATTTTCAAGTGGTAACAAATAATTATTAACTACAAACAGTTAAAGATACTCAACGGTATGACATCTACATAATACTAAACAATCAACTGACAATATTAGAATGGGGAGGGGGATCAAATATTGACTGGTGCATGTTTTCTGGATTTGCCAACAGGATAAAATGGTCTTTCCATGACATTTTAGGTTATACTGCCAATAAGGTCCATGTTATCTGTAATGTAGAAATAAGGAGAAATTTTGACAAGTAGCTAAAAATCATTAAATTGTTACCAATGGTTCAAAAAAGGAAAAATACTTGCGTCATGTGCTGTCCTCGCGAATGTCAGTTGTCTGGGTCGCGAGCCATCACTGGCACTTTGGCCTTGTGTTGTTGATCCATTCTGTCAATGGCAAATTCAACGCTTATTGAATTTCACTGGCAATTAAATTTTTCTCAATAATCAACGACTTTTTCAAATTAACATTACAGGAGTTATGTACCTGTATACTTAGGATATATAATTTCAGATCAATTAGTTTTTTCTGCAGTGTGTGCACGAAGATTAATAGGGAATAATGCCATGACTTTACAACACAGGGGCTCATGTACACTATCTTCACTTTCACCACCAAATACAGTGTATTCGCAATTGTTCAGAATATACCGTTAGTTGAGGAAATCTTTGACTGGACTTAACTCTAATTCTTTATGTACTTAAATTCAAACAGCAAGTATAATATTGTAAAGCAGCAGCAGCAGATCATCTACGATGTAACACTTCCTAGGACTTATAAAAGAAAGAAAAAATAAAATGTAACGCTTGTTATAACAACTGGATTTATCTATGGGTAATGGAGGTGTGCTTAAACTAAGTAATACAAGAACCATTAGTCAGCCAATAAACAGGCTACAACCATGCACATTATGATTTATTTTAGGAAGATACACAGTGAAAGTCACTTAATGGTAGTGTCACTATTCCCTTTATATCAATTTTTTGGGAACCTCTTGTCAGATATAACTTTGCTTCAGCCTCCCTTATACCTTGTCAGATATAACTTTGCTTCAGCCTCCCTTATACCTTGTCAGATATAACTTTGCTTCAGCCTCCCTTATACCTTGTCAGATATAACTTTGCTTCAGCCTCCCTTATACCTTGTCAGATATAACTTTGCTTCAGCCTCCCTTATACCTTGTCAGATATAACTTTGCTTCAGCCTCCCTTGTACCTTGTCAGATATAACTTTGCTTCAGCCTCCCTTATACCTTGTCAGATATAACTTTGCTTCAGCCTCCCTTATATCAAAATTCGTTTAAAATCTTCCTCGTGTCCTGACAGTTTGGTGGGTTTCAGATTCAATTTCACGCATGGTATGTCAGACACCATAATGGTAACCCAGTTGTCTGATGTCACACGATGGCATCAAGTGGTGTTTCAGGCAAGGTAAGAAGGCTTAACCAACATCTGGGAGAACACAGTGGTGAGGCAGGTAAGGTGTGGTCCTAGGCACCCGATTGTCGACAAACTGTCTCAATAGGCTCTATACTGTACGTATTTTCATCTCGCTCGAAGACAATTTTGTTGACAAAAAATTTCGAGCACTGTGAGAATTCTGCATATGCTTTCATTCCTTCATTCTTTGTTATATCAAGGATGCTGTTTAAAGCACAACTGTTTTCTTAAAAGAATAAATAACAACAAACAGTCAAGGCCAAACTTACTTCAAGTCCCACCTCACTTAACGCAATGTTTTTACTCTGCACACACACCATCATATTAACCGAGTTTCACTGTATTTAGTTCTATGAAATTTTATTTACAGGAAATTCATTTACCCACACCTCACCTCTTTTAAACAAAGGCTGTGTTGATTTGAGTCTATCCCCTCTTGAATGTTTCATTAAACGCACAATACTTTATATAAGTGACAGCACTTAAAGAATCACACAACAAACCTAGTTTGTACAATATTGTTTCATTTTACATCCCAATATAGGGTTTGGTAAAAAATATCAAATATTCTTTTGCAATCATTGAAAAATTATAAAAATAAAGGACCATTTGTATTTCATGTGGCAAATCCAGAAGACAGACACAAGTCAACCCATCTTTATCTCCTGTATACAACTGGAATTCTGTCAAACCCCTCAAACAGAATTTTTAACATTTACTTGACATTTTATTCCAACACTTGATTTTATGGGGAAAAAAAAAGAAAAAAAAAGACTCGATAACGAGGCATGCTTAAACTATGTAAGGTTTTAGGACAGGTGAATTTAATGAAAATTTATACCAGTATAGTGTACTGCTATCGGAGTATAATTCTGAAAACAATCACGACCTAACAATAAACACACAGTATCGGATACTTCAACCCTCTCCTTCCTTTTAAGAAAAAAATATATATATTCTGTATGTACCATCACGACCCCCCAAGCTGACTTTAATGGCAAAGAAGCCATAGATTATCCACTCCTAATGTCTGATGTTCTTGTATTAATACACACTATGGTGTTCACATAAAATTACACCTTGAGTACAGTACTAAAAAAGCCTCGCATACAAATTCCTACAACTATTACCAGCTGCCTCTCAGCAAACAACTCTCTTATTTTAGTGCTTCAGTGCTCCGAGTTTGAGTCTGAGACTTGATGAAGCTCTAGGGGAGCTTCCTGCTGTGTATTTTTTAAATCTTTCCTCTCCAGGGTGACAGACTCAACCATTTGACATATACCTGTAAACACCTACTTACAAAAATATAAACCATGTTTCTTGATACAACATTATGGACGTAAATCCTAAAACTAAAATAAATTTGCATATACAGCATTTGAAAGCTTAAGCGGTAAGATTTTCTTCATATATAAACTACTTATTTTCAATGCTCATTCAGCTTTCATGCATTTAGTTTAAAGTTTTTCCTGCGTCAATTATAAAACCCACCCAGCTTGCAGAGTCTTTTTCGGCCATTTTCACTAGGATCCAATATCAATCACATCATTCTACCCCCTATTGAAAGCACGGACACTTATAGAAGTATTCAAACTACAGGTATGTACAGTAATTATTCAACATCAATTTTTCCTATTAATTTTTAAATTACATACTTTGTCTACCTTACCATAAACTACCATTATGTTCTTGCCTCCTCCATAATAACCTCTAAAACCTTTCCCTCGCATCAATTACTTCAGTTTACCTTACCTCTTAACACTTTAATACAAATATAACAAAGTACGTACTAAACAATATGAACACCATTTTAAAGTCAAATCTCTTGCTTTTACCTGTTATCACTTCATTCCTAATTCAAGACGCTCAGCTTGTTGTTGACTCTCTACTTTGTTCCAAACTGAAATCCACAACTCATAATTCATCTCCATCTCTCAAGTCACTTTTCCTTCTACAGTATGCCTTGTTCTCTACTTGAAACCCTCAACTTGTTATTCTAATCTGAAATTGATATGTGACTGATTTGTGTACAATCATAATCTCTTCTCGATATGCGTTCATGTCTGGTTTTATGAGTGCGTGTTTGGAGCCGCTTATTCTGTGCTAAAGACTTTCTCTCCTTGAGATAATAAACACACATACATGGAGCTGTTGCTTCTTAATAATTATAAAAAATATACAAAAGATAAATAATGCTTCCTCGATGCCCATCCCCGTCACTTCAACTGTGTTCTTCGCCCAATCTTTCCATCTCCATCTTCCTTTCCCTCCTATCTTTCACCTTTCAATTAAAATTTGATTTTACCGCCTATCACTTTCAATTCTTTCAATAAATCCAGAGCAACTTGGCACACCCTGGTCAGATGTGTCAGACACTGCCTTCACTTTTGCAACTCTTATTTTAGTACTATTCTTTTTGCACTTTATTCATCCTACATATTACTCTCAAACAGGTGAGATTTCCTTAAAGGGGAAAGCCATGTTATATCCTTTTATGAATTTATCCTTTCAGTCTCAGAGGCATACAATGTACACTTGGGATCAGAGTCCTACAGACATGTGCGATACATGTTGATTTTTCCCGCCCCATTTCAAAATATCTTGGAGCACCATGAGCAATAATAATGCCACATATTACCAGTAGAAATAATATTCACCCCCAAATATTTCACATCAACTCAGTTACCCTACAAATACCATGGTGAACACACATCTGGCAGCCGCGAGTGGTACCTGTGTGTCTGGTAGACGGCAAACGTAAATGCGCAGCAGCATGGGAAGAAACAGATGCAATTTTGATGGGAGGTAATGATACAGAATTGAGAAATATGAAGATGATGATGATACAGTAATTAGCTTGAGTTTATAAACAAGCTGTCAGTACTGGGAGGTGTCAGGAAGGTATGCCCCAATCTATTGTACTGTACCGCTAAAACACAAAGAAACTGCAGTTGCCAATCAATTATTTTCCTTTTTGTTCTTTTAACACTATTCATGCACACATGAATTATGCCTGACACCAAAAAGGGTAATTGGCCACCCTTAACAACCACAGCTTTAGTGTCACAAAAATACCCATGTTACAGTGAATGTATTTCACAATTAATTCAATCTAATAAATTTTTTGGTTTCCCCAAAAATAATTGTACAGTACTATAAAAAAAGTTTAACCTTACGATAATGACAAACATTATTATTACTATTCAGCATAAAACTGTCCCCTCTGTTAACTGCTTAAAGTTTACCGCTTCTGGAACCCGAGGGCAAAGTGTTCAGAACCCTGTGTCCCATAGACAGAGTTGCCAAGGTAAATAAACTCCCAAAAACTTTTTGGACTTAAACCCTTAACTGCTAGACGTCAATTTCACTATTTCATTTGGCTAATGCCAAATGATTTTGTTCAGCACAGAAACACACCACATATGGGGTTAACACTGTAAAATTAAGACAAATATATGGCAGCCTTATTATGGTATGCAATGTTAGGAAATAATATTTAAAATAATTTTCTGATTTTTGATTACTGTACTTGGAAGTGAACACCTGTTACAGATAATATAAAAATTAAAGTATGTTTTCTAGATTTTTAAATTCTATGTACTGGCTTTAGGTAGTTACTTAGCTTCATCCACTTCTTATGAGGAGATATACTGTACCATAAAAGTTTTTTATAAGTACTATAAACCACACAATTATAAACAGTGTTAGCTCCAACTTAAGCCAGAGTGAACTGCACACTTGACCCAAGTCCCACTCTGGTACATACAGTCCATGTGTTCTATCAGTATCTAACCTCAGTCCTCCTGCATTTACAACATGTTACCTGAGCAACATTAAAAAGTGCACGGATTTAAGGTTTCTACCTGGTACGATACAACAATTTTGGGTAATTTGTATTATATGGGTAATATTAAAGAAACAGAGCCTTGAGGATGCCAAATTAGCACAGATGAGTGTACAATATTGTGCTATTTTCATTGTTACTGTATTAATATTTGGTGGGCAATTTTGTGTGTTTTTGTAGCGTTCTCTTATTTATCCATGGTGCACATTTCTTGCTTGTGATTAGTAAGTAAATTAACCTTTTAAGTACCGGTATTGTTTGCTAATTATTAATCTTTTTTTAACCTCAGGTTCGAACCCCCTATTTTATATTGCAGTACAGTACGTACGTGGTAAAATTCTAAGTGTAATATCTTGGGCCCTAGTTAAGGTAACAGAATAATTCAAAGTCTTTCTGATGTTGTAGTTGTCAGTTAAGTTGACATTTGACAATGACTTAAACAGCAATACCGTATTAACAAGGTAAAGCAAACTAAAGGTCTGATCCAGTGGTCATTAACCCATTTAGATGCAGAAAGGTTCAGGTGGCTTTCTGAGGCCCTACCTAGTCTGGTCACATTCAGGTTATGGCAATGCAATATGACACCTCAAGATGAATGATATCCATGCAATCAAGAATGTTCAGAGAAGGGTAACAAAACTGATGCCCGGGCTGAAAAAATGGTTCCAAAGTTTATCTAAGCAAGCAGAAGATCCCATCAATGACATACTCTAGAATGCTTGGGGATACAAATGAAACTTTCAAAATAATGCAAAGGATATGTCAAGAAGCATGCCCATCTTTGAGACCACATAATGACAATGACAGAGGTGACAGTTTTAGCTGTTTAAAGTGAGTTCACACACCAAGCTGAGATAACAGAACATTTCGCTGCACATCCAGGATGTATGGAACAACTTACCTGACCTGTTGGCCATACCCCTAACTGTGATGACTTTTTAGAGAAGGCTGGACAAACAATGGGCTGATAAAGATGTCATGGTCAACTACAGAGCCCTGAACATGTGGTAAAACCATTACCCCACCTATTATTATTTTATGTAAATTCAACTTCAGAGAAGCAGATTTAAGTTCTGAATATACAGGAGTAAGTCTTTCATCTAAAAGACCAAATAACCCATGTAAATCCACTACATGACACCCTACAATACTAAAGTTCAATTTTATGTTAAATTACAAATATTTCTCCCAAATAGTAAAAAAATACAGGGATTTTCTTACACTTGACCTTGAGATCTACTTCTAAATCTTCCCCCAAAACGTAACTTGCTAAATGTGGTCACTATTGTTATTAATGCTGATGCAATTCTTATCATCTGACACTGTCATTGTAATGAAATGGTAAAGTGATTTAAGTATTGAGACCTCAGACTTACATATTACAGATTGTCTTACAATAAACTTACACACCACGAAACAACAGAACTCTTCCACAACAGAAACATCTACATGAAGGCAGGTGCTCTATTATATCATGTATTTTATGTACAGTATTAGAGATTATTCTATCAAAGGTTGAGAAGTTATGCACAGTACAGTATATTCAAAAGTAAATTTTAAATTATTAACTAAATCAAGTTTGTTTATGAAAATTTCTAAACTTCAATGTTTTTTTTACAAAATACTGTATAGCTATTAAAAGAAATAAAATAAAAAATACCTGTAAATATACTATTATTTTACAGCAACAATAAGAATGAAAGAATATCATCAAATGATGGGAAATGTGTATGTACTCTTGTTTCTGGCCATCCTGCATGAAGAAGAAACAGCTTAACCGGAAAAAAAAAGAAGCTACAAAAACATCTTCAAAAGGCTCAAATTATGACAAATTCCAGTACTGTATCTTGGATTAACAGCACAGTTTGTTTGGATAACTTGGTGCTAGATACCATTTTTACCTTATAAGTACAAAACACTTCCTCTAAATATTTACTTTATTGAAAACAAAAGATAAATTCTAATGTAAGTATGACTTAGGAAGTGACCCCCAAGACCCTCTTCTAGACCCACCTGTCTGTGTTGCTGGACCCGAACTGTTGCTGCATATCTTGAAGGATGAGCATCCATAGAACCTACTACAGCTGCAATGGACGGTTTCTTATTATCACCCGCTGGTGGATGAGTTACATCAGCACCCAGGAAGATTACAGGCTCGTTGAACACCTTAGGTCTATGAAGAAAAAGATAGGGAAATTAGATATTGGGAAACCGAGCGCTTGCTCACTAAACATCTTAAAAGTGAAACAGGGTCCCATAAGCCTGGTTGCACATTAGGAACAGTGTGGATACAGCAATGTATACTAAGCCTTCAGTACACAAGGAGACAGCATGACAGTACTGCACTCAACCACATTCATCCCTAAGTTGTAAACTTAGGTACCCATTTACAGCTGGGTGAACAAGGAGTGCCCAGGGATCAAACTACTGACCCCTGGAACAGGAGGTGAGCACTAACCACTCAAATGCCATGCTCCTAAACAACTTAGCTCTATACTGTAGTAAAAAATTTATTTATGGAGAAATGATTAGCTTTTGAGATATGCATATAACACTAATTCACCTTCTGATAAAGCCCACTTTTTACCAGAGGGGCTTGAAATGTTAAAAGCCTGATACACCAGCCAGGCAATGTTTTTACTACATGCCGCATTCTCACCCAAATGAATCAAGGCTGACGGCCACAAAAGACTTATGAAACTTAAAACCTTTTGGTCAACTGTGGCATAATACTGTACACAGACATAGAGTATATGTTTTTAAAATATTCACAGTTAGCAAATAAGATGCGTCTCATAAAACATGGCCACCAAGCGCAGGCAGATGTGTTGGAGGTAAAGAGTTATTATGAAGGGGACACTGAACATAAATGGTACTACTGTGTGGACTTGTGGAAGAGATGCTTAGGGAGAATTCTCAGATACACATTATACAATGGTTTCTTTGCAGTGATAACTTGACTGATTTTATGCAATGATGACTGGACCCAGTTACTGCATTAAATTCAGAGATTTTTGCGTAAAATTATTAAATTTTACTCTATTCTGCATACTAAGTAGGTTTCAAGTAACCAAATACAAGTTGTTAAAGTTAAAGCTTTACCCTCTTCGTAGTCTTTATGGAAATATAATTTACAGTATGTTGGCTGTACATTACAAATCAAAAATCTTAAATTATTCTAAATATCAGACACTAATACCTCATTAAAAAAAATATATATATTATATATATATATATTATCCCATTAAACTATTTCTCACCTGATGCCTGGGACTAGAATAGAGTTGATGCCTCCCAACTTGACATTGATTTTGAGGCAAAGATTGGATAACGTCTGAGGTGAGGTCTTGTTAACATTCTTGGCTTGCACACACTGAGTTGCCATGCCCAATACAGTGTCACCTACTCGCTTCACTTCCGCTGTGGAGAGAGAAATTATTCAAGATACACGACCAACTATCTGGCAATAATTGAGAATTTATTCAAGACATACAAGACCATTTGTAACAAAATATAATTAAACTATAAATGTAAACTTGACAATCATTAAAGATATTGTTCTCCTTAATCAAAGTAGTAGGTTTAAGAAAAACCATAATACTGTACAAGTAAAAATTTGACCTATCTATTTATGCTATAAAATAAACATATCAAATCATATAGATGGGTAAAACTGAATGCCTCCTCTAGTAAGGGTATTATAAATCTGATATGACAAATATTCCTAATACAGTACATTAATATATTCTCACTCACCATAGACTGGAGTCTTCCCAGGCAGTACTACACATACTAGCTGAAGGCCAGTGAAGGTACTCTTAAGATACCGAAACATTGGCTCTACCTGGTCAGGTCCATTGGCATACTTGCAAAAACATGGCTGACCAATAATGGGCATACCTAGAAGACAGAACACAAAATGAATCTAAGTTCTTAGGGTTTTAGAATCTAAATGAGTACATTATATTAATCCTAAAATCTACATAAACATAAAGCAAATCTAAGGACCTACGGTAGTCCAAATTTAATAAAAAGAGGGTCTAAAGGATAAATTTTAACTTAACATTGTGAATATTAAAACCAATGTATAGATGAATAGAGTGAGGTCAATGATGATAGAGGGAATTAATAATAAATAAATGATGTAACGAGTCCCATGGTAAATTATGCATGGACTTCCATTTCTCCAACTTACCAGCATCATTACTGATCTTCTGTAATTGTTGAGTGAAGTTCCGTAATGCATCTTCTCTTACTGTCCTTTGTGGGGCAAAGCATGCTACCGCCCATACACGCACTTCCACACCAGTGAAGAACTGCTTCCCTCTCATATCCCAAACTCCTTGGTTTGGTAAAGCCTGTTGCTTTGTTCTTCCCCCATACTGTAGCTTTGGAGGCGGCAGTACTCGTCCCCGGACCTGTATGAAGTAAAATCAAAGCAATAAGTAGTGGGTAAAGTTTTTACCTGAGAGTTGTTGTACACTGGTGACTTAAAGTGTTGACAGTGACGAGGCAGTGGAGAGATTTGAAAAATATGAAAGGGTGAAGTAAAGTCAAAGGGCTTGAGAGTGAATGTAGTAACAACAAAAGTACTGATTGGTGGTGTGGGTGAGGGACTTATAGAGAAAAGTGGAAAATGACCAAGAGTTACCTATAAGAAAGATGTTGGCAGTAGCTCAATAATGTGCAATGAGTGTTGAAGGTGGTTACACAAGAGTAGAAGGTGACTGCTGTATGTTGCTGACTTTTAAGTGTCCAGTATATACCGATGAATGAACGTAAGCATACTTTACAGTGTCATCATAAGTAACAAAACTAATAATAAACATATACTATACTGTTGTTACTCTACTTACCTCCATCATAGCTGTACTGATCGTTAGGCCAAATTCTTGCATGTAAGGATCGTTGTTAAAATCGGCTTTTCTAACCAAGTTGTTAATCTCTCTCTCTCTGTCTGGGGCAGATCTTGCTGTAGCTTTGATCATGGTGGAGGTTTGCATATCAGTAAGCTTCTTGATGCACCGCTGGCCAGGAACAATGTTACACACCTCCAAAGGAAGGTATGTATGCTTGTGTTCTTGACCCACCTAGAAATAATACCCTAGTTATTCTATGTACAGTACTGTAAGGGCATACACCAAGGCAAGGATAAAGGCCTTTGCTATGTGCTGCAAAAGATATGTTAGAGGAAAACAAATATAGAGGTATTAACAATGACTACGGAAATACACTAGAAGTCTAAAGTACTGTACGGGTAAGAAAAATGAGAAATTGATCATATATAATTAGGGATGAGGGGATAATAGTAGAGATAGTGTACTAATAAGTAAAATTCACAGTAGGAGGTGCAGTGGTAGGTGGAGACTGGGATGGGTAGGTGAAATTAAAAGCTGGGTCCCTGAATAGATACAAAATCTAGGAGCAGCAGCAAAGACATTTCCAAAAAAATCATTTGGAGTAGAGGGTCATGGTCACCAACTGTCGACATGAGGATGGCACCTTAATCAACTTATCATTAAATGGAAAACAAAATAAAATAAAAATACAGATAGAGTTCATTCAGTCCTTCACACCTCAACATCCAGTTATACACAATATATATATATATATATATATATATATATATATATATATATATATATATATATATATATATATATATATATATATATATATATATATATATATATATATATATATATATATATATATATATATATATATATATATATATATATATATATATATAGTGTATAACTGGATGTTGTACACCATTCAGTGACAGTAGATGCCACTAACTCACCTGTAGGCAAGGTAGATGTGGGAACCTGAGTTTCATTTTGTATTTGTCAAGGAAATATTTGGCAACTGTGCATTCTACAGTCTGGCCATTCTCAAGCTGTAGTGGAAACCTGTACAGTACAAAGAGAAAATAAAACATTATCACCTGTAAATACATGTTAATGATCAGGTTAAATAAGGTTAGGATACCGTTGAGAAAAAATTACACATCTACACTCTAAGATGAATCAAACTTACTCCATTAAACAGGACAGAAACCTATAACACCAACTTAATAAATACAGTGAAACCTCTATTTAACGGACTATATGGAGTGGAAAGTCCATTATATTGAGGGTCCGTTAGATGTGATACCTCCATCTAACAAATTATAGTGACACTGAACAACTACCAACTTAAAACATTACAGCTCAGTCTATCTACAGTATGTCCAGTTTAACAGCTGTGAAGTAAAATATTGTGCAACTGTCAATGCTGAAAAATATGATCAAATGCTCAACTACTTTACTTATTTCCGATACAACTTTCTCACGTGTTCCTCTTATACAGAAAAGACTACTGTAGTGCACTGTACTTACGATTGCATTTGAGCAGGTCTTCTGGTAACATTACATACACGGTATTTTCTTCGCATTGCACCACAATGAGTAATCTCTATCTGAAAGGCACAAAATCAAGAAATTAGGCCAATAAACACATTATTGAGAAATTTAATTAAACTTAGCACCAATTCTATGTATATGCACACAATACTGAGCACAAAAAAAAAAAAATTTAGTCATAGGAAGTGAAGGCAAGTAAAATTTTTCAGTTATCCATCCAATTTGCCAAGTGTGTACATTACAAGAAATAATACCTTTAATCCCTTAATTTCCTTTGTGAACTTGACACGCTGCGAGTCTGTGAGAGGTTTCCGCTGTTCGCCAATTTCCCGTATATCCAAAACTTCACACATAAATTCTATCACTGCTTGTGCTTTATAAAATGCAGTTGCAGAAACTGAAAATGAGAACACATAGGTACAGTATATAATCCACGTTGTTTCTAATTATTTATCAAAATTTACACAAGTGAACTTAAAATGATTGCAAAAGCTAAATACTGTATCCTCTAAAACCATTTCAAAAGCAGAGGTAATATTTTGAAATGTAAAATTAAAATGATAATTTTCTTAAAAATATTATGTACTATGCTTCTCAAATAGTCAAGCAAGACCTAAATTATCCAGTAATGGATCTCTGTTATTAAACTTCATAATGGGAAAGTCCCTCAACTTTGGTACTTTAATCTAAGCACTGGGAATTTTATTTGTACTGAAATTACGAGGTTACGAAGGGGGAAGGAGTTATATGAACTTACAGAATACTGTACCAAATCTTTTTTATGTCCTTTCCCACAATAGTGTAATGCCGATATGAAATACATCACAAATAAAAATTTTATCACTTCTTGTTAAGTATAAAACAAATAATACAAAAGTAAAGAAATATAAAACTAGAAAGATGTGATCCACGGAGTAACACAGGATAAATAATTAGATTATTGTAAAAAGGATAGTCTAAAATTTGAGAAAACACACTGGTAAGTAACCAAACAGGTATTAACATACCTGTACAGGGTAAATGTGGCAAAAGATTAGCACCATTAAGAAAGACATGTCTAACTAATGATGTATTTAAAAAAATAACTGAGCTTCATTAAACTTTCAAGCTGCAATTTGTAAACATTAAGAAAAATTTTCCTTACCATCAATATTGAGCATCATCTTCCACTGGGACGGCCGTACACTTTGATGAAAGCCAAACCACACCTCACGACCACCACCTAGAGGGTGGTAATAACCATCTGGGGCAGAGAAAAATGACCTGCCCACAGGGGTGTATGTCATAGACGGTAGATGGCGCATGACTACATCTAAGGCCTGTAGAACAAAAATAAATACATGTACATATACATTTTAAGTCCTTTAAGCATTTTAAAAATATTTCAATCCTTCCTCCTCCAACCTTGTCAATGCTTCAAATCCATACAGAAATGTACCTCAACAGTACCTTGTACTCTTCAGTACATTCATATCAGTTTAAGAAGGTTATGTTGGCATAACCCGGGTGAGGTGATGGGCTTCTTATTGTCTTGCATTTACACACTTTTGTAATGTCTGTTGTATTAATACTGTACACATTACAATAATTTATCAATATATATTATGGGGCCTTACCTGAATAGCATCATAGGGTATTGTCCGTGTCCGCCCTTCAAGGGCTTCTTCTAATGTGTAGAGATTTACTTGTGCTAGCCATTTCATTGCTACTTTAAAGACCCTGTCTCGTCCCTCCCCAGGCAAAGTTACCTGGAAAAATATATTGCTATAACTGAACTATATAAACACTTGAACAGGAATAAGTGTCCATCATGGTTTTATATATCACTATTACAAACATTTTGTTGCATAAAACCTCAATATGTCAGATGATGCCATTTTTTCATCTGAAATTAAAAAATAAAGATAACTGTGGGAATACTGTAGTGTACTTGCTTTATCATAACTGAGAGTCTTAGGTGAAATTAAAACAGTTAACCGGGAGAGCTAAGAAATTTACTCCAGTACAGTATATGAGTCACAAAAGTTGACTAGATATTTCTTAAGCCGATTAGTTAATTAGTGATCTTAATTTTATGCAAATTAAATAGGTGAACTACCCAGTCAAACTCACCTCCAACTCCATCTTCTCATTACCAATGGGTAATGGATCTCTTGTATATAAATTACTTCTTCCATCAAAGACAGGCTGAAAATTTAAGAGCAAAAACTTTTAATTACTCACTGCCACTCGACATACACAGGAGATGCTTATGTATAACAATGCCTTATGAACTCGTTTAACTATAGCTTCTTAGTAACAAAGTATAACACAGTAATGGGGAGAACATAATACCTCTACCTTTACCAACTGTGGATCTGTTGGGTGACTATTACAATGTATAAAAACTACTTGTGAAGCTGTCATATATGTAACTTCCTGGGTTGTCACCACTTGTAACAATCACTTGTGAAGCATGTTACCTTATATTCTAGACGAACTAAAATAAAGATTAAAGTTTGTTTGGTCTTCAGTAATGAAATCCAATAGGTTCCTTTTGTTTGTTTATTGTAAAAAGAGTTCTATGTAGACTTTCAAAAAGGATTATCACCGTAACTTAATCACTGTAGCTATGAGTGTTAAATGAGGACGGAGGCTATCTTATAGTAGCTCTTCTAAAATACGTACGATTGATGTGAGAGTGGGAGTGATCTTGAGTAGGGATCCTCGAGGGAGAATGGAAATATATCCTACGTCCTCCCCCAAGGAAAGACGGAGGCTATCTTATAATAGCTCTAAATAACGCCTTCCTCTCATGAGTGATGTCAAACTACTGCCCTCAATAGGTGGCCAGGGAACCGGATACTTATCCCTTAGCTCAGCACCAAGTGACGTGACTTCCCGTGGACACACCTTATCAAGTGCTCTGAACATGAACCTCATAGCTAGTGGAAAGTTACAAGGGGTGATAGTTATAAAAGTCTAATGTAATTAACCCACATTTATATAAATACTTCTGCCTATAAGGCAGGGGCTAATACAACTCGTTATTACTTACTTTTAAGCTGCTAAAGATTCTGGGGAAGGCATGGACCATAGTCTCAATAATCTCTCTGTTGACTTTCCGGGGGCATTTATCAGGCTGGATACTAACATCATAATGATGGATGTAGCCCCGGGGCATAGATATTTGGAAATGGTTAGCCCGTAAGGTGATTGGCCGGCCTTCACGGCCAAGATTAGGTCGCCTTGGTGCAACAAATGCTACAAGAAAATGGAAATAGGTTAACTAGTTATTCTATTTCACTGAGCTACATATCTCTTCACTCTGCACTAATTAATGAATAATAAAAAAATAAAAAAATTGTGTACTAATCTTGAGACAGGATAAACAACTTAAAGTAAATACACAGAGTTTTAACTCTCAAAATGTTTAAATGTTGATGTTAAAGTGTAATTACTAGCCTTGTTGCGCACTTAAAGACCTTAATCGCCGATGTGCAGTAATAGCATTTTAACATAACTACATATTCTTCTATGGTACTTCACTTACTTGGTAGCTCTGGTGGTAGCAGTGCACTAATACCAGTTCCAGTGGCCACTGCAGGTGTGCCAGCAGCTTGTGGCACAATTGTAGTAATTGGTCCGGGCGCAGGAGTAGGTCCAGGGGGTAGCGTCAGGGGGCGGGGCACCGGGGGGCCAGCTGGTCCTGGGGGTCCCCCCGGGCCTGTAGGAGGGCCGGGGGGGCCAGGAGGACCAGGTGCTACAAAAATATTACCCCCATTAAAACATATCACTTCTAAGTACACATATTCTGTGTCAACCTGAATAATGTGTTTTCAAAAATCAACATTCATAATTTTTAATTGCTCTCTACATAATGACATTTTATAAATAAAGCATAACTATTCTTGCTTTACTTATCCTACCCTATTATATCATAACTTTTCATTCCTTAAATATGATAATTACCTTTTGTCATTCCTTTGCCAATGGCTATGGGCAAAACTCTTTTAATGTACCACTGAAAATTTGGACAGGTTATGAAAATATGATTAGGTGGAGCATATAATCATATAATAAATATGTCACTATTCACATATGGTATCCCTCCACCAATCATAGGCTCTGGGAGTAGGAAATTCAGGATAACTATAACCTCATACACAAAGGATCTGCCATCCTAAGAACCAAATCAGTTAGGCACTAGACCAACTCAAGATAAAAGTCAGGCATGAAAAAAGCTAAAGTTAGCAGGAAGTCAGTTTACACTTGACTACTTTCATGCAAAATTCTCCAGGTACCAGTACACCAATTACTAAGGACCACAGAAAAACTGAATCCATACCAAACTTAAAACAGGGAAATAAACCATTTAAATAAACCAGTCTCCCCGATAAATTCCAGTACAATATAGTACAGTACATGTGTACTGTATACACAAGCATCCACACAACCCAACACAGTACTGAAGACACATGTTGCTTTCATCAGTTTTGGCCCAGTGATAAGCTACCTTTTATTTTAAACTAAGATAAAAATTCTTTTTTTGATGCTTTATACTCAAGCTTACCAAAGCAGCAGCTTTGTATTTCAGGCCTGAAGATGACATTTTGGAGGACAAGATGGATACTATGCAGTCAAATGCAAGGAAACTGAGAGAGCTGAACACAAAATGGAAACTTCCTTTTGTTTTAAAGGGTAAATTATCAATAGTTCCTAGGATGTGCCCCAGTCACTTTGGGGAATTGTTACTTAAGCTCACTGATAGTCTCCTCCCTACTGTACACTCCAGACATACGGCATGTAACAAACTTGCACATCCAGTGCTTGAAAGTTGTCTGATAGAAACTGTTGTCTAAATCAATTTCTCAGGTTGGTTGGAGTCATCACCGCAAGACTCACATTTACACAGGAGACTTTTGCTTCCAGATTAAGGACAGACAAGTCAATCTCAGATGAAGCAACTTGCTCCCTTGTCCTTAAGTATGAAATTTAAATTAACATAGTCTATATTGCACCACTGCAGTTTAAAAAAATGTACAGTATTGTACTATAAATAAACTGGGCAAAACCATAATGCATCCTCTTATGGAGGCTTAATGGCCAGCATAAAAAGACTATTCATAACCACCTTTGTCAAACCAACTGCAGTACTGTAGGGTATTATCCTTTCATAAATTGGGGATACTTCAAGGTAACATCTACAACATCCAAGGTTCAGCCAAACTGCTTGTACTCGAAGGTAAAAAATAAAAGACTCATTACACAAACTTTTCTATAACTTTAGAAGCAAAAAATTTAGCATCACTGATGGAAAGGTTAAGAACCAAAAATGAAGACCCACTCTAAGCTAATGAGCAGAACTGTCAAGAGGAAATGTAAGCATTCACGAACAAATGAATACATGCACACCAAGACCCAATTGAAAAAGCTTGAAAATTTATTAAGTTTCAATTTACCAGAGTTATGAGCTTGAGAATTTGTTGACGTTAAAGTAGAAACTGGGATGTCTACAAAATAGACAACACAACACTTAGACTAGAAAACAAGAAAATCAAAGAATGAAGTGTAATTTAGAAGAAATAAAAATCACAGTGTAATTTACAAAGGGTAAAACTCATAATAAAGTGTTATGCCTTGGCCTTAATGAACCAACTGACTCATTGCAGGAATCCCTAGAAGAAACAAAATCAACATCTGATATCACAAGTCTCCCATGTAGAGCAATACAACTAACAAAGAAACCCCCCCTCCATGGCATTTTCATGATATGACTGGAATACAGGCAGATATATGATATTCCTGCAATTACAAGAAATGAAAATAAATAAATAAAATATATAATAAAACAATCAAAACATCCATAACACATTACTGTACACTGAAGACCAAAGCCAATGTTGTCATAAAACCATTGACATTTCTTGTGTGTAACTACAGTACTGAACATGATACAAAGTATTTTGTCAATGCCAACAGTTTGTATAATGTAGGATAATGTAACAGAATGCTTAGAGCAAAACATGTCATGCAGAAAGAATTGATATGAATATCATATCCAACCTTCTTCCAAAATAAAGGTTCTAATTAACTATGCATTTAAGTCTAACACAGGACTTATAAGGTCAACATCAAACATTGAAGATGTAATGCCTATCAATATAGGATTTTCAACACAAACATGGAAGCATGTTAATAAATTCGATATTTTGCAACACGCTTAAAATTATCCCAATAATTTTTTTTTGGAGGGGTGTGTTTTGCTCCAACTTGAAGGGCAACAGAGAATGTAGACCAGAGGTGTTGGCTATTTACAAGATTTTACACCACTAGAAGTACCATTTTCACATGATCATAACTCTTGTATTAAACTGCAGTAAGTATAGTTTACTGATGTTTGTATAGGCCTCATTTCCACAAAATCCTTTCTCATGAAAATAAATCACATGAAACTGAACCAGAGGGAGACAGCCAAACTAACATTCAGAGGACACAGACAAGCAAGAAAAATGAAATTCCAAAAGCTCCCTAAACTACCCAACTCTGGTATGAAATTGAAATCAGTAAATATGAACTGATATACAGTAAAAATTAAACCTGCAATTCTTTCACTAAAAGATGACGCGGATAAAAAGCAGCAGCAGCGGCAGCATGACAACTCCCCCCTCAAGCACAATAATGCATACCATGCCAACCCGACACTTATATTACCTTTGTGTATTGTGCAGTACTGTATACTCTAATCTTTGTATATAATGCATCAACAATTAACACGTTTTAATGGAACACACGAAATACAGTGTGACATTTTCTAAAAGTAATGCCACGAAAAGAAAAGGAAATGACCTAATATGCAATGCGGTTTCCTATAAATCGTACTGTGTGTGTGAATATACTCAATGTTCAGAGATCACATTTACAAGTAGCGTAAGTCACGTTTTTCCACATCTCTACTGCAATGAACCCTGTACTTTAAGTGTTCAGTAGTTCAGCTAACAACCTCCCCCTCCAGTGAACAAGAGCTTTACTTCCCTTTCTGAATTCATTGGAGGATTGAGCACACAAGATACGATGAGAATCTAGATGTGGTAAGATATCCCAGCATGTTTCCAGCCTCACTCTCACAACAGCTGTAGTAAGCACCATTATGGTGCCCTCAATAGAACCTAGACTCTGCTGTGTGTGGCTTCCCTGTGGCATCTTTCAATGAGTATAGTAACTTTACAGTAATGAAAAGTTAACATTGTGGGAGATGAGAGTTTGTTTTCAGGTGAGGAGGTACTTCTGGTAAAAGTTTTGGGCTGAGACACTATACATGCAATAGAACAATACAGTAGTGTATCTGTACTGTATTTCTATGTAGACATAACGTGGATTAAATTTAACCCAGGGTTCACCAGACCTAATAATTGCATTATATATATATATATATATATATATATATATATATATATATATATATATATATATATATATATATATATATATATATATATATATATATATATATATATATATATATATATATATATATATATATATATATATATATATATATATATATATATATATATATATATATATATATATATATATATATATATATAGGGTGGTCCAAAACTATATGGTAAAAAATATAAGTAGTAATATATTGCCTCCACAAGCCTTAAAATTGTCCATTTGGTTCATAGATAAGGTCTGTAAAATTTTATCCATATTCATTAACATTTAGAGGTCAATCCATTTTGCATATTATACTTGTAGTGTAGGACTGAATTTTCTTGTCCGCATGATACAGTCTTAATAACACAACACATTATATTGGGTATATTTCAATGTATATAGCCTAATTGCCTATTTGGAAAGGGCAAAGAGTCAAGTATTGAGTCATAGGGACTGACAATGACAGGTTGAAACAGGAAACACAGACAAGGGTTACCATTAATCAGATGAAGTTACTTATTTCATTTATATCTCATCAGTTCTACAATTATTTCATTATCAATCTAAATAGTATATTATGCAGGTTTCCATCTTGTGTCATGGCATATGAATGGCAGGCAATTATTACCCAAAAAAGAGAGAGAAACTGGAGAAGCACAGGCCGAAGCATGTTTGGAAGCAATTAAATCATGGAATGTTGAGAAATTGGTTAAAGGACTTGTATTTGATACTACTGCTTCCAATACAGGATTACATCGTGGAGCATGTGTCCGCATTGAAGATGAACTGGAACAGGAACTTGTTTGGATAGCATGCAGACACCATGTGCTAGAAATTATGCTAAGCGATGTCTTCAGTTTGATCTGTGGGTCAACTGGAAGTCCTGAGACTATTCTGTTTAAGCGCTTCAAAAAGCAGTGGAGGTCCATTTCGCTCAATGACTTCATTCCAGCACCAGAAAGCATGTTTGAGGACCCAATGCTTCAAATTCTAAGGAAGGAGTTGCTTGAATATTTGCCAGTAGCCCTGCAGGATAATCAGCCACGAGATGATTATAGGGAGTTTCTAGAACTAGCTCTTTTGTTTCTTGGTGGACTGCCAAGTAGTAAGGTTTCCTTTCGAGTTCCTGGTCCTACACACCATGCAAGATGGATGGCAAAAGGAATCTATGCTCTCAAAATCTATCTGTTCAAACATCAATTCACATTATCAACACGGGAAGAAAACAATATCACACAACTGGCTTTGTTTGTGAGCATAATGTATGTGAGATTCTGGCATGAAGCACCAATGGCTGTTCGAGCTCCATTCAATGAT